GAAGTTTACATATTTTCTCCCCGAGGTTGTGTGGATTTTTGTCTGGGTCCTCCGATTTTTCCCTCTACATTTATAAACATGCATTTGGAGTATTTTGCTGCTGCTTTAAATTTCTACACGATAAGCCACTTCATTGAGTTACCATTTGTGGCGAGGTCTCTTCTGAAAAAGAGTTGTGTAGTTTAGTGGGCCTTACCTGATAAAATTAAAAGTTTGTTTTATTGGTAGTTAAAATATACTGTTCGCAATAAAGTGTGGACGGTAACTTAATTTGAAAGAGTAAACGTTTACGTGTTGACGTCTTGGGTAGAGAATCATATTTGCAAGTTTGCCATTACTCACTTATATAATATACCTTCATAATGCTATTTATTTAATCCAGACAAGCCTGAATGACTCTCATTACTCTTTTTCAGTCATGGCCTGCTTTGGAATGTCGAAGCCAATGCTGCTTTAATGAGTTGTTTATGAAAATATGCCGGAGAATATAAAAAGAGTATCCCATGTTTATTCTAGAAATAGACTGCAGATAATTATTTGCACCTTATAAATATGTGACCTAAAATCCTCCATAGTTGTCTCAATGGTCTGTTTGAATTCAATAAAATAAATATTTACGGAGATTAGATAATGAAATAAATCCTTGTAGTATGCAGTGCCGTGTATTTATTATACTGAGAGACGGAAAGAGGGGGGTACAGTGTTAGTGAACCAATGCCAGTTAGATGCATCAAATTGATCTTTGAAAAAAAGTATCACAATAATAAGAAGAGAATACGTCTGCTTCACGTATCTGTCTTTCCACGTAAAAAAATAAATACCACAATGTTTCTTCCACGACCCATCAGCCGCACGGCATTGATTCAAGACACGCAAACTCTGGACCTGTTTGGACATGAAGCGTCTCATCAGCAGTCGGGCGAGTATGTGGGCTTGGGCAGGTCACATCGCCAGAGAAGAGGGACGATGGCTGATGGACAAGACTGGTGAAAGAACGTCAGCCCGAGGAGGGGGAGCGCCACTGTGAGGGCGACCACCTGTGGAGATGGAGCTGTGAGATCAGTTCGTGTGGAGGAGTGAGATGGATTGTGGCACCGCAGGGCCACGAGGAGTTGTCGGTTGTGTGAAGACCTTCATGCTGTCGTGGATAGGGAATGAGCGACGTTGATACGGCGTACAGTACAACATCGCATAGTCGGATTCGCCGGGGAGTGAGGCGTAGGCGAATATGTGAAAAGGTCGGTTACGTGAGCATCTACAGAGGATGGCAGGTTATGCCGTGCGTGCACTAATAGATCACTGGACAGAAATAATGTGCAAACGGATTTAAACACGGAGACGACGCTTCGCTGTGCTCAAGAAGTGAACGGATGTACGCGGCATTGACGTGCATTGCTGTTTGCGAAAAATGTCAGATTTGTGAATATCTCCGTACAGAGACAATAGACACCACGCACAAACACTGCACCACTGGGCGTGTGCTGTTAGTTGGTCGGGGCGGATATTACGCGACTCTGGAAAATGCCAAGTTGTAGCGCACATATATGAATGTATTTTTTTAAACGTTGAGTCTCATCCACGGTTGTTAAGACAAGACGATCAATACCCACGTAATTTTGTTTGAATCGTCATTTATCTATATTAAGCTGCTCACCTCTCAGTGTTGTGTAGAATACTCTGGAGCGTTGCCAATATAACCGCAGCTCCTTGGGCTTGTCTCTAGGCAGGGCTCCTGGGTTAAAAATAAGACCGGGTCACTGCAAAGAAACGGCAGGGCAGCCACCGTCTACTTAAGGAGTCTTTGGTGGAACTAGGTCAGGTCCCTTGTACAGGTTAATTCGAACAGTCCTACAATTGCTGCTGTGTCCTTGGATGATCTGGAGTAAGGCTGATGTTTTTTTTTTCCCGGGGATGTCACGGTGGGCACGGAAATTGTGACCTTGATTAGATTAAGCGAAATCTTGGAGTATGCCTGTAGAAACGCATTAGATTAGACGCTTCCTTTATTTCCTTTCAAAGCTGATTTTTTTTTTTAAACAGCGTCATGCGCTGAAATACAACGATGAAATACAACACAACCAATGTAATGCATGGCTTGGTTGCAGTTATTAGCAGCCCGCACGTACTTTGGACATTTCTATCCAGCCATCCCACCATCCGGCCATCCCGCCATCTATTTTCACTTGCAATGTGCCTCTGAGTCCATCTTCATATCTATTTAGCATTAGTCACTGCTCTTTGGCAGTGTTGGAATTTCCACTTTGCTATGGCAGAGCCCAATGTCTGCATCAGACAACCACCACTCCTTGACCAAATAGTGCAGCCTCAACAGGTTTTTTTCTGAACTCGCCCCCCCCCCCCCCCCCACTGGAAATATGTGACAAAGAGCTTCATAGCTCATCGAATTTCTGAAGGATAAATAAAAAATTTGATTCTGCAAGATTCTGAGCTGGTATTCATTTAACTGACCACAGTGAGATGACGATGAGCATGTCTGGAACTATATTCTTAGGTGTTTTCGGTAAAGTCACGTAGGTAAAACATTAAAATTAATAAAAGTAAAATAAAATAAAAATCACGACGTTTCGGAGGCAACACAAGTCTCCGTCATCAGGTGGGACCGTCACCGCCAGATTTGCTGCATCAAGTGAGGCAATGATTCAAGATTGATGCAGCAAATCTGGCTGTGACGGTCCCACCTGATGACGGAGACTTGTGTTGCCTCCGAAACGTCGTGATTTTTATTTTATTTTACTTTTATTAATTTTAATGTTTTACCTACGTGACTTTACCGAAAACACCTAAGAATATGAATCCTTGCAGTCACGAAAGCTTCAAATCTAGAATGTCTGGAACTAACCTGTTCTTGTTGGATCTCAGCAGCTAAGCATGGATTAGCCTGGATAGTAACTGGATGGGATAGTAACTGGATGGGATACTACCTCCTGGGAACACCCAGGTATTGAAGGCCTGGGCTGCAATGTGGCCAGTAGATGACAATGCTGCAGTGGTTTCTTGATTGTGTCCAAGTGTAGCTTTGTTCTTTTCCTGGGTACTCCAGTTTCCTCCCACGTGACAAACACTCACTAATGCAATTATCCTAACATCCCAATGCAAGATCCTTCTGTAAAAGAGGGTTGAGACTCATCTAGGCGTTCCTGGATAAATAAAAGCATTCGTATTGTTATTCATATTACCACAGTTCTGTCCTCGCTGCAGTTTTTTACTATCAACATTACAACTGGGAGCCCTGCTAATCCACTGAGGGAGCAACCCTGCCATCCATGACGATAAACAGAAAAGAGATAAATGAGTGATGCTGTGATGGGATATAATATGAATACATCTTCCCCACAATGCTCAGGCATAACACTACCCGCCTGCCCATCCCTTGCTCGCCCACCCACCCACCCACCTATTGCTCGCTCGCTCTCCCGCCCGCCCGTCCCTCGTTCCCTCGCTCGCACGCTCGCCCACTTCAGCAGAATCTATAAACGTTCCTCTGCTTTCTGGCATGCTGCCTGCCCTGGCTCTTGCTGGAATCGGTGTGCCAGTGACGCACAACAGCGCGGATTTGCACGCTGCTGTACGTTCGGACAACACGGCGTGCGACTGCCCTGCCGTCTCGCCGGGGACACACAGGAAGGGGCCTGTCCTCGGTGGGAGATACCCAGTGACGTCTGGGGAAATGTGCAGCGTTCCGCTGGGAAGAGCCCTGTTGGTCCTTTCAACTTTGTTTTTCTTTTTGTATTTCCTGGGAAAGGCCGAATGAGTTGTTTAGGTAATTCGACGGCGGCGATGACGATGTCCGCGTTGCTGGCCCTGGCTTTAGCTCTCGGCGACCCCTGGTGACCCCTGGTGTCACAATCTCCGAAAGAAATTTCGACACGAGGATTTGACGCTGTCACGTCACGTAACTTGCGTGCATCATTGGGTGATGCTTGAAGACGCTCCGATGCTGCGATTGCAATACCAGGAGTCAACATTTGCAAAGGGACTCCCTGCTTACTTCCCACAAAGTTCTACTGAAAGTCTTGTTAATATTGTATGGTCGTGCAATTATATACATAGGTATCTCAAAGGTTATTGTACTTAATGCTGTAGTCAAACTGTATCGGAATTGGAACATGAAAATCAGGCGTGCATAAATTGAGCATTACACGAAATTAAATATTAACAAACGTAGATGTAAAAAGCGCTGAAGGAAATCGGGGTGCAGGTTTTCATTGTGCATGCTTGGAGGTGTTGTTCAGGAGGGATGCTCTCCAATTCTCACGGAGTCATCTTACACCCATTTTTTTTTACATTTTCCACTTGTATCTAATTGTGCTGTCATCATCATGTTATGAGATGAATCCAATGCGATCTTTCACAGAGGGAGAGCATCCCTTCCTGTTGGAGAACAGACTGTGGACGCGGATATCACAGAACTACCTCTGAGGTCCCTTTAAGTGACCTCTGGCCCCACACAATAGAAGGAAACATTTTCCATACCCACTCGGACATTTAGAGTCATGTCTGTCACATGGCAGTGAAACTAATATTTTAATTCTTAGAGCTGAAATTTAGAGAAATCAAGTAAATAATGGTATTCATGCCATTTTTATTCTGCAGGGCACTCACGAAAGTGCTACATTTTACAGACGGATATAGTTTGCCAGTCGGAAGTGATTTGCTCTGTGTAATCCCCGATTGAGTAATCCACATCTATTCGGATTTGCCAAAATTTAATCGTGACGTCACGGGATCTATAACGTCCACTGCGGCACAGGCGGAAGCGTAAGTATCGTACGGTCGATACACCTGCAGCGGTAACCGGTGGTGGGGGGGTGGGCAGCCTGCCGGATTTGAAACCGCGAACCTCCGTGACAACGAGCGGCAAACGCGCCACCTGCCAGGCCACGTCCACCCCCCCCCCCCGACGCGCGGCTGTGAGGCGTGAGTAACCGCGTGGTGAGTGACTGGTGGCTCGCGTGTCTGCTGCCCACCCTCTCACCCAGGCTGCGGTGATGGCCGGGGCAAGATCCTCCAGCGTTTTCCTGCCAAGGAGTGGGAGGACGCGCCATTCCCGCAGGGCCTCGAGCTGGTGGGTGCCTCGTTCCCTCTCGAGCGCCGTGTTTTAGCCTCTCACTTTGTGTTGTTTTTTTCTTTATGCCGGCGCTCATTTCTTTACAACTGCTTTTTGTGTTTTAGTTTGTTGTCCTTCTCTTGCACCTCTGATGAGCACGGTTGGCTACGTACGGTGTGAAAGAAGTTCAATATACATACATACATACAAACAAAGGGCGCCGTGGTAGCGAGATGTTAACTACATCGCCTGCTTTACAGGAGGTCGTGCTTACATGTGCGCACATGTGTGCACATGTGCGCACATGTGTGCACGTGTGCCTACATGTTGCGCACACGTGCATTCGTGTGTGCACTTATGTGTGTGCGAACGCGTGCGCATGTCTCTGTACGTGCGTGTGTGTTTGTGCATTTCCGCATGCTTATGTGTGTGTTTCGTGTTGTTTGTGTGAGTGCACGCATGCGCGTGCATGCACGCTGTTGAGTGCCTGTGTGTGTGTGTAGCCTGCCACCAGTGGTGTGATGACATCACCACCACTACATGGAAAATGGCAGCTGTTGTTCTTGTTCAGCGTTCAAATCCATCGACCGCCCTGATTATTTCTGCTGGGATGCTGAAAACCATAATAGTGCTATGCCACCTCTGCTTCACAGCACGCGTTAAAGATCACCTGGCGTCAGTTCGCAAGAGTAGGCCATTGTGTGCTGGCGTTGAGGATCCAAATTTGCCTTATTAAAAAACGACACCACAAATTACTACCGCAGCAATCATCCGCCCCCATGCTGGTAGACTAATGCCCCTGGTCACTCTTGCAAATGAGACTCTCCTGGTGTCGTGAGTTCTCGCCTGGGTAAACGACAGTAACTTGAAGCTTCTCGTCGTCAGTCGTCGCTGTGCGTGCCTGCGTGCGTGTTGCGTCGCTCAGTTCTGCCAGCCGAGCGGATGGAAAACGAGCACCGAGAGGGTTCCGCCCTCGTTCTTCGTGGTGGTGCTGACGGACATCAACTCGGAGAGGCACTACTGTGCCTGCCTCACCTTCCAGGAGCCCTTCCTCGAGCCCAGCGTGAGTGCTCTTCAGCCCCAAGGGTGCTGCGGTGGCGAGGTGTCAACGACCTCGCCTGGTATCCAGAGGGGTCGTGGGTTCCGATCCCGACCCTGACGTCTGCTGTATATTTGGAGTTTGCGTGTATTTCTCTGCTCGTGGTCGCGTGGATTTTTCTCTGGGTCCCCCGTTTTTTTCCCTCCACATCTAGAGCCATGCGTTTTGCGTATTTGGCTGCTATAAATTTCCACGTGATAAGACATTTCGATGAGGTTTCATTTGTGGCAAGGTCACTCCTGAAAAAGAGCTATATCGCTCAGTGGACCTGTACCTGGTAAAATAGAAAAAAAAATGTTTATTAGTTTAAGAAATAATGTTGTTCACACCCTTAGTGTGGGTGCATTTGTTCATAACCCAATGTAAAGAAAAATCTGAACCTGGATTAAAATGTTGCGCACATTTGGCCGGCCATCTCTTCACCACCAGCAGCGATGGATGATGGCCGATGGTCAAGGATAATGACAGAGTGGCTACCACAGGATGGAACGCATCTGGGAGGACGTCCACCGAGGAATATGCGGCAGTGAAATCGGCTCGTTTGCCGGTGCCAGGTGGAACGCTGCATCGCAGGATCCACGGGAGATGACCACGACTTGGGGGGAGGCCTTCATCCAGCAGTGGATTGATCATGGCTGATGCTGAGCGCCAGTTGACCGACGGTCTGTGGGGCGATGAGACTCTTATCTTGTCCCGTGTGTTGTGTGAGTCTAGGCGGGGAAGACGTCAGATGACAGTGATGGAGAGGAGGAGGAGCAAGAGGAAGTGGATGACACAGGTCTCGTGAAGCCGGCACAAGTGTTTGCTCCCAAGAGCCTTGTCCTGGTCTCGCGACGGGACTGCACAGAAATCTTCAGGGTTGGTAGTCCCTCGTAATTCGTTCCGCGATAAAATGTGCGTCTCCTTTTGAACGGCGTTCATTGGTGACACCGCTCATGCCGCCGACACCGCCTCTCGCGGGATGATGACACGTGCCTTGCCGAACCCTCGCAGCGAGAGCTCTCACATCACAGTGCGTCAGTAGATGATGTTACAGAATTACGTCCGCAGTCACTTCAATCGACGTCTTTTGTCGGTAGTAATTTTTTTATTTTAGTCTCTCGCCTTGGGCTGTGGATTTATTTGAGTAATTCTATGAGATTAGTTTGACTAAAGCAGTCAGACATTTGGCCAAACACCATCATAATTATTTGGTATATACGGTGGGCCAATTCTTTTCCACCCAATTTAATCTGATCAGCCCTATATTATCAGTGAACTCAGTAAATTACTTAATATAAATATACCGCAAACATTTTTGCAGCTTTGGTTTTACTCAGTTCCCCGCTGTTTTAAATCACGTAGCTAAACTATCTTGGTCCGGTGCCTTCATCCAAACTCGTTACTTTCGTTTCCTCACAGTCGATCGCTTTTTTGGCCTTTGGTCGTCAGTCGTAGTCATCGTCGTGCTCGAGAGATTTCCATCCGCTCGCTCATTGATCCATGAACGGAAATTAACCACCGAGGCGGCCACACACAAAGGGCCCGCGATTCGCACGCCCTGCTAAGGGGGTGTCCCGCTGCGTGTTGTGTAAAATCCTCTTGGATGAATCTTGACTGAAAGCTTTCGTGACTGCAGGAATTCATATTCTTGGGTCTTTCGGTAAAGTCATGTAGATAGGTTCAAAGAAAATATACAAAAATAACAAAAACTACTTGGATGGTCGTCTCCGTCTCTCTCGCCCTCGTGCAGAACTGCCTGGGGCTGCTGTACACGGCGCACACGGACAGCCTGCGCGTACCCCTGGAGACGCTCGTGGGGAACCTGTTGTCATGTGTGGTGCCCACGGCAGGCGGAGCGCAGGTAACCAGGAACCCCGCCCCCCCCCCCCCAACTGAGTTTGTGAGACCCCACTGCAAAATGGCCAAGGCTCATGCACAGCCCCTTTTTGTCAACCCGCTGCTGGATGGAGGGGCCGGCGGCAGGTGACGATGCACGCCTGTAATCCAGCACTGTGGAGGGCGAGGGCTGGTGGATCGCACAAATGTTGCACAACTCCCTTCACGCGTTGCGTCTAGAATGTCATGCCCAGGCTTTCTTGGAGAAGGCGGAACAGCAAAAATGCGTATTCCACTTCTTCCGCCTGTATGGGATATAGTGTTTTTCCCGCGCACGCGTGGGTTATCTCTGGGTGCTCCGGTTTCACCCACATGCAAGCGCTCGTTAATTGGCCGAAAACACCTTCATATATAGAGAACCGCAGAGCTTGGAGAATTGTTGGGCCCGGCTCATCGCGTGGCTGGCCTTCTTGCTCGTCTGTGGTTCCCCGCGCCTCTGAGTCGTTCTCTCTGTACGAGAGCGAAGCGAACACTGAGTGCCTTACGCCCTGCAGGTTGTGGGGTTTTGACCATACTTCACCACGCTGGTCCATTGCCAGATTGGTGAAGGTGGGCAACATAGATGCGGGGATAGAGACGTTCAGTACAACAATGGTTGGATGCTGCACTGCAGCCGACAACATCCTGCTGTGCATCGTAGCGACCCATCCAATCACAATCCAGTCTCGACTCTCAACCCTGGAAATTACAATTACAGTCATACCCCGGATTTTGTTGGGGATGCATTCGTGAAAGGTACAGCGAATATTGAAACGACATCAATCAAAGCAAATTTTCAAAATTGTACCGTACAGTACAGTACATTGTGAATGACGCAAAGTAGTTCATGTGCAGGGTAGCTGAAGGCTGAGAGGCGACAGGATAACGAGAAAGGACAGACGACGCTGTCAGCGACGTAAGTATGGGGTTGAGGCGACGTATTTGCGAAATGATATGAAAGGCAGCGACGTCAATCAGGATATTACTGCACAGCGTTATTGCGGTTCACTAAAAATGAAACGATCACAGTTCTAGTTGACCCTGTGTCTTGCTATTGTATGACGATGATGCTGATGACGAGCTGTGTGCTTGCAGAAACTCTTCTCGCTGGGGGCGGGAGACAGGCAGGTCATCCAGGCGCCACTCAACGACACCCTCCCCATCACCGGGAGCAGCGTCGCCATTCTTTTCCGGCAGCTCGGTAATGACCCCTCCAAGTCACCGGTGTCCGAGCAGAACCAGGTCGAGGGGTCACCATTTGCCCGTGCGGTTGATTCCTATTGTTTACGTGTTAGGCCTGTTTACCCGGCAAAGCCTAAACGAGAGTTTTCTGGCTTTTCTTTGGAAGGGTCCTGCCAACTTTTTGTGGTCGGGTGGCGATGATTGCTATGTGTGTAGTCACAATAGAGTAATGCGCGGTGTCATTTTCACATTTGGCAAAGTGGGACCATGACGCCGGCACACGATGGCCTACTCTTTGCGAATGACGTGACGAGGTGTTTAACGTCTGCTGTGAAGCAGGTGGTTCGTATCTTCACGGTTAATGCACACACAGCACTATTCATCAGGGCGCCAGTTGTTGGTTGCCACCACACTCGCCGTAATGCCCTTCCATTTTGGCTGCCGGTTGCGGAACGAATCATTTATGAGGTCGTACTCATTGCACACACACAAAGTGCTTGTCACAAATGAACCACAATACTTTGCTGATCTCGTCAAGGAGCATAAACCACCATTGGAACCTCCTTTGCCAGTAGCAAAATATGATAATAGTTTTTTTACCCTTTTATCTGGCAACAAAACTGACACCTTTTTTACAAGGAGTCATGTTTGCATTGACCACAATACCTGCGGTCGGAATGCAAACAAAAAACAAAACTCTGATAATGTATGCACTGTCCTAGAAATTGATTGGTCCACACCCGAGACAGCTTTTCTTAGAGCCTAGTCTCACATGGTGTTAGACCAGATGACGCCAAAAGGTGCACAACTCAAAGACAATGCACCATCAGAGTATGAGAGCTCGGGGTAAGCATTTACACCATTGGAACCTCCTTTGCCAGTAGCAAAATATGATAATTGTTTTTTTACCCTTTTATCTGGCAACAAAACTGACACCTTTTTTTGCAAGGAGTCATGTTTGCATAAACCATCGCGCAAACTCCGGTCATTCTCGCAGCGGCTTTTGGCCAGCCATCGAACTAAGATGGTCACTGCATTGCGTGCTTTCAAATGCACTTTTGCGGCCGTCTGGAACGCTCTTCCTTTCGATGTTGGGAAACACTTTTCAATCTGGATTCAAAACTCATTTTTTATAACTGCTTTTTGTGTTTAGTCTGTTGTCCTTCCCTGCACCTCCAATTAGCACGGTTGATTACGTAGGGTGCGAAAGAAGTTCAACATATGCATATATGTATGCCAGGTCAAACAAGTCTTGCACAGTCAGTGCTCTACTTCCCAAGGCTCTGCCCTGACAGTCTTATAACCACCACCTTCTGGCTTTAGCTCTTCCTCTTGCTTTCCTACCTCTGGGTGCCCACTTGGCAGTTTCAGGAACCTGCCCATCCTGCACACATGGCCCGTCACGACCTCCACTTCTTCATTACATCTACATCGTTCTCCTGACATGTTCCATTCTTCCTTTACACATCGCTTACCCCTTATACCACTCTGACATTCCGAGCAACATCCACCGTCACCTCCTCAAGGACTCTAAACATTTGTGTTCCAACGGCTTTCTTAAAGTCCAACTCTCTGACCTATACAGTAGGAGAGACGTGCATAACGACTTGCGTATCATCAAGATCATAGCCACCAGTTCCATTGATGTTGCCACTTCTCACCATCGCTTACCTCGCTTTGGCCAGATCACTGCACGTGCCGCCCGTCTGTGTGTACTTACTTCTGTGTGGTGCTGTGCTGAGTGGGCTCGACTAACAATTGGAAGGGCATGAGTTCAAATCCCAGCCAGAGGTCAGTGTCAGTTTATTATCTAGAGAACTCATCAGTGACGGGTCTGTCAGTCTATTCTACAAATATGCCATCAGACCATTCTGCCAGTGTATTGTCCCCATGGGACACCACGTGTAGTAGACCAGTGTCTCAGTGCTTTGTCCAGAGATCCCCATCAGACACCTGTCTTTTGACACCTGATGCCACTTTGTCACAAGCCCGCAGTGGAGATTACAGGCCCTTGCTGCGGGAATGTAGGATATTTCCACCGCTGGCGGAGGACCACCAACAGAGATGAACTCTGTCCTTTGCACCTTTCTGCCGTGTCAGAATTTCAGTGGGCTCGATCCCGACCCTGACGTCTCGTTACCCACCATGTAGCCCCGCTAGCAATGTGACAACCGGCCCGTGCACACACAATTGTCATCCATCCAAGCACTCTCCAGGCTCAAAACTGATTAGCTGATGAGATCAGATGACAATCGAGGGCATTCCAGGTGATTTTGTCAGAGGCTTGATTTATACAGCAAAGTCCATTCACCACGGTGGCAAGGTGTTAACTACCTCGCCTGGTATGCAGGAGGTCGCGGGTTCGTTCCCGAACCTGATGCCCGTATATTTGAAGTTTGAATTTTCTCCCCGCTGTCACATGGATTTTTCCTGGGGTCCTTCGGTTTTTTTTTTCCCTCCGCGTTTATAAACATGCATTTTAGAGTATGTGGCTGCCATAGATTGTCACGTGATAAGCCGCCTCGCCAAGCTATTATTTGTGGCCAGGTCACTTCTGAAATAGAGCTGTGTAGCTCAGTGGACCCTACCTGGTAAAAGAAAAAAGAGTTTTAGTTTATAGAAGGCGCGCCCGGGAATTGATGTAGCTGACTGGTGGAAACTCGACGCTCGCCACAGCATTGTGCCAGCTCTTGGAAAATCTCGGACGTCCCGTTTTTGTTGTGACGTTTTTGCAAGCCGTCGCACGGCCAAGCCTTTTGCTATCTTGGGCCGACGTCCTATGAACTCAATATCCGATCAGGTCAGAGCGCTTTTGTAGCGGTGACTGCAGACGCCAAGTCTAAGCCCTTGTCTCGTTCCAATCAAAGCAACTCCCGCCTTTGCTGTGCTGCTGACGTAGGCTGCAACGGTGACTGAAGCCGTTGTCCTTGTCAGCAAGTATTGCCTTGCAGCAGTTTGGTTCACAGGCATTGCCTCACGGTCGGCAGCAGGCATTCAAGAAAGGACAGTTTGGGCAATTTGACAGTACAGTAATCCCTCGTTTATTGCGGTTAATGGGGACCGGAACCCCTCGCGATAGGTGAAAATCCGCGAAGTAGGATTGGCCCCCCTAGGAATTTCGTGCTCTCATTCGTCGATCTCGCGCCGGGAACCAATCACGTGCCTTGTCTGAGTGCCCGTGGGTACAGTATGTACAAAGCCTCTGAGAGAGTTTCTCTCTTTGTCTGGCATCCTGGGAAACCGTTTCTCTCGCGCATCACGATGAAACAACGCTGCTTCCCGCAATACGGCTGCCGATATGGCGGTATTTTTGAATTTTTATTTTTCGATGAATATTTTTGAAAAATCAGCGATGCACTGAGGCCGCGAAACTTGAACCGCAAAGTGGCGAGGGATTACTGTAGTCTCACCGACTTGTCTCTGATGGGGTCTCTAGACGATAGACTGTCAGACCGGTCTCTGATGGGGTCTCTAGACGATAGACTGTCAGACCGGTCTCTGATGGGGTCTCTAGACGATAGACTGACAGACTGGTCTCTGATGGGGTCTCTAGACAATAGACTGACAGACCGGTCTCTGATGGGGTCTCTAGACAATAGACTGTCAGACTGGTCTCTGATGGGGTCTCTAGACAATAGACTGACAGACCGGTCTCTGATGGGGTCTCTAGACAATAGACTGTCAGACCGGTCTCTGATGGGGTCTCTAGACAATAGACTGTCAGACTGGTCTCTGATGAGGTCTCTAGACAATAGACTGACAGACCGGTCTCTGATGGGGTCTCTAGACAATAGACTGACAGACCGGTCTCTAATGAGGTCTCTAGACAATAGACTGACAGACTGGTCTCTGATGGGGTCTCTAGACAATAGACTGTCAGACCAGTCTCTGATGAGGTCTCTAGACAATAGACTGTCAGACTGGTCTCTGATGAGGTCTCTAGACAATAGACTGACAGACCGGTCTCTGATGGGGTCTCTAGACAATAGACTGTCAGACCAGTCTCTGATGAGATCTCTAGACAATAGACTGTCAGACTGGTCTCTGATGAGGTCTCTAGACAATAGACTGACAGACTGGTCTCTGATGGTGTCTCTAGACAATTGACTGACAGACCGGTCTCTAATGAGGTCTCTAGACAATAGACTGACAGTCTGGTCTCTGATGGGGTCTCTAGACAATAGATTGACAGACTGGTCTCTGATGGGGTCTCTAGACAATAGACTGACAGACTGGTCTCTGATGGGGTCTCTAGACAATAGACTGACAGACCAGTCTCTGATGGAGTCTCTAGACAATAGACTGTCAGACTGGTCTCTGATGGGGTCTCTAGACAATAGACTGACAGACCAGTCTCTGATGGGGTCTCTAGACAATAGACTGACAGACTGGTCTCTGATGGGGTCTCTAGACAATAGACTGATAGACCAGTCTCTGATGGAGTCTCTAGACAATAGACTGTCAGACTGGTCTCTGATGGGGTCTCTAGACAATAGACTGACAGACCAGTCTCTGATGGGGTCTCTAGACAATAGACTGATAGACCGGTCTCTGATGGGGTCTCTAGACAATAGACTGATAGACCTGTCTCTGATGGAGTCTCTAGACAATAGACTGATAGACCAGTCTCTGATGGAGTCTCTAGACAATAGATTGACAGACCGGTCTCTGATGGGGTCTCTAGACAATAGACTGGCAGACCGGTCTCTGAGGGGGTCTCTAGACAATAGAGGTGAATTGATGAACTTATTCAGATTTTCATTGTGGCTTCATGACGACTGGAGTGAGGAAAGCCCTTCTGTTGGACCAGTCTGGCATTGTCGTTAGACTAGAGGTGAAATAATTTGCCCCCCGCCCCCGCCCTGCCCCCCCCCCCCCCGCCCCAGCGATTGGATATTAAAAGCCCACGATGCCAAGGTCGTGATTCGATCCAAGGGTATTTTATTTTACCACTCGTGGCTGCAGGGTTCACGTGAACCCATCACATGCGGTGGTCGCAATGTGCCATGCAGGAACTTCTCAGAGCACCACGCTTGTGTACTCCCGGCACTTTTCAGACCGGTTTCTTTTCCTGAACTGTGATTTATTCATGTTTTTCCCAGAGAGGGGAAATAGCAGTGAATGTGGGCTGCAGGACTAATATGATTAATACTGGAACTGTTAACTTCATATTTATTGCATATAATTTTTACAAATGTGTGTGTTTCTATCCTTTGTATGCTTCTCCTCCATGTGTTTCTCTACCACACCACCGATTAGCATGATTGGCTTTGTACGGTGCGAAAGAAGTTCAACATACATACACCATGTGAGGGTGCGGTAGTGCAGTAGTTAGTGCGATGCGTTACGAACCTGGCGAACTGAGTTTGATTCCCGCTGATGGCCAAAACCAGTGACGATTATCTGAATCGGCCTTTCTTAGGTCGACTAAGCCTCAAATGAGTACCAGGCATCGTGTTTAAATATCGCTGCCAGGGAGACAGAGGTGGTACGGTGTGCTCCTGGCCACCCACCCCATTGTGTACCGTGCCGCCCTTCGTAGGTGCTCGTTCACAACACTTGGCCCAACAGCCTGTCAAGGCTACGAGGAGTATCTTAGCCCAAGCGCACCTAGCCACGTGCTTGTATCCCGTGTGTGTGTTGTGTGTCATTATCCCCTGCGTGAATGCTGCCTTTGACCAGGGATTCGCCATGTCCTCAACCTCTTCTGTGCCGCCGTCACGGAGCACAAGGTGCTGTTCCACTCGAGCAGCTACCAGCGGCTGAGCGATGCGTGCCGCGCCATGCTGGCGCTCATGTTCCCGCTCAAGTACAGGTCAGCCGCGCGACGAGTGTGTATGTGTGTGTGTACGTTGAACTTATTTTGCGCCGTACTTAGCCAGCCGCGTGGCTGGCTGGGCCCGGTGGTTCGGAATGGCCGCGTATTATCAGTCACGCCTTGGTGGCCTTGGTTTGGCCTCCTAACGCACCTTCGCTCGGGCTTGAGCCGCTCGGTTGCCTCCGAGGACGGGTGAAGCGGCTCGGCCATGGCTTGGCTCAGGCTCGGTTCGTGGAAATCCTGAGCACGGCTGGGATATTGCTTGGAGCCGGCTCAAGGGTAAGCTTGGCATTGAGCCGCCTCATTGGAGCCAGAGCCAAGCGTGAGCCGAGTGGGGACTAAGAATGAGATTCATCGATTACAATTTAATTGTTTTTTTCATCTTTTCCCCCGCTATGTAATTAAATTGTCCTATCGAGAGTTGTGCTGTTGGTATTGTGTCGTGGCCACCCACCACACCGTGTGCCGTGCCGGCCTTTCATAGGTGCTCGCTAGCAGCACTTGCCATAACAGTCTGTTAAAAGGCGATTAGGGCGGGGGTGGATCTTTGTCTTTTTTTGTTTGTTTGTGTATTTCCAGCTATCCTTACATCCCAATCCTGCCAGCCCAGCTCCTGGAGGTGCTGAGCACGCCCACGCCGTTCATCATCGGTGTTCACTCCATGTTCATCAACCACCTGCCCGACCTGGTGAGGCATACACCATTGGTCCTTGAGCTGTCATTGGCCACAAATGGCTTATCGGTACCACCCAGGGTGGCAAATGCTAACAATGATTTTACTTCAGAAATGCATCTCGAGATCGCAACGATGTATGATAGAAATGTCACCGTGCTTTGCTTTTCGCTATACAATATTTATTTTTACGAGAAAAATGTTGTCTTGTGGTACATTGGACAAAGAATATTGTGATGTGAAACATCTACGGCACATGGAAATAACAGGAAGTGCATCTATGAAACAGACGGTATGTACATTAAATTTCGATTTAAAGCTTTCGTGACTGCAGGGATTCATCTTCTTGGTTCTTTCGGTAAAGTCACGTAGAAGGGAAATAATAAAATAATAAAAATTAAACATAATCAAATAATTCTCACGACGTTTCGGCCACAACACAAGCAGCCGTCTTCAGGTGGAGCTCTGTGCCCATGGTGTGTAGTACTGTGCATGGTGAATACTGGTGAAATTCTCTGCCCCAGGTGGTATCAACAAAACCTCTTGGCCCATGAGCTACACTCAAACGTCAACTGAAGTGACTTTAAAAATAGTTCTGTGACGTCTGGCTACGGAAGCTACGAATGAAAATTACCTTATCTCGTGACGTGGATCCGGTTGCAGAATCTATTCTTATATTGCTGCTCAAAGTGGGATTTCGTGGTCGTAAAGTCCCCCCCAACAGTTCCCCCTCCCCCCCCAACAACTCCCACATGCCACCATTGTGTACAGGTGGAAGGGGCGGTGTGGTCTAAAGAAGAATGGGCGATGTCTAAATAAGTATAACCCGTAAAAACAAAGTTTTTCACTCTAAATCCTTTATATGCGTGGCGGCTTGAGTCCTCTCGTCCTCTGGCTTGAGATGGCTGCCACCTATGGGTCAGATGATTGTCTGCAGTATTAAACAATTGGTAATTAAATATTAAATTTGTTTTCCCTAAACAGTGTAAAAATTTGTCTCGCACAACGAGTCTGTGTGCAAAATGTCAGCTCGATTGGATCACGGGAAGTGGGTTAAAAACGACCGAAAGATTTGCACGGTCGTAAGCAAGCAAGCAAGCACGCAAGCACGCAAGCACGCAAGCACGCAAGCACGCAAGCACGCAAGCACGCAAGCACGCAAGCAAGCAAGCACGCAAGCACGCAAGCACGCAAGCACGCAAGCAAGCAAGCACGCAAGCACGCAAGCACGCAAGCACGCAAGCAAGCAAGCACGCAAGCACGCAAGCACGCAAGCACGCAAGCACGCAAGCACGCAAGCACGCAAGCACGCAAGCACGCAAGCACGCAAGCACGCAAGCAAGCGAACTTAATATAAAGGATTTAAAAAAGAGAAAAGCAACCTGAGACGAAAGTGGGAATAGGTGGCACCTCACCATTGGAACCTCATTTGCCAGTAAAAAATATGATAATAGTTTTTTTACCCTTCTATCTGGCAACAAAACTGACACCTTTTTTACAAGGAGTCATGTTTGGATAGACCACAATACCTGCAGTCATAATGCAAACAAAAAACATAACTCTGATAATATATGCACTGTCCTTGAAGTCCTTGAAGTTGATTGGACCAATCAACTTCAAGGACAGTGCATACATTATCAGTTATGTTTTTTGTTTGCATTATGACTGCAGTTATTGTGGTCTATGCAAACACGACTCCTTGTAAAAAAAGGTGTCAGTTTTGTTGCCAGATAGAAGGGTAAAAAAAACAATTATCAGGTGGCACCTCATCGGGAAGGGGTGGGGCCTAAGGAGGAAGGGGGTGGGGCATAGAGAGGAAGGAGGCGGAGCCTAGAGAGCAACGAGTGACCCAGAGGTTGAACTACCCTGTTGATTATGGGAATTAAGGTATATAATCAAGCACACGGAGAAGGCTGCAAACCTTTAGTGCCACAGATGTTGCCACACTGGCGGGTCTAGGCCATAAAGAAGGCTGTCTCTGGTGTAGGCCAATCAGTTTCAAATACAATGCATGTTTGTTGGGCATGTTCACCACATGTACGTGTGGTTAATGCAAACTTGATGCCTTGCAAAAGGTTTCTATTTGGTGTTTGAACATCTTAACACCTGTTTTATTGCCAGAAAGGGTAAAACCTATTATATTTTTTTCATACGGGCCCCAACTATTTGGAATATATTTGGGGCAATTAAGAAAACAATTAAAATAATTCCCTAATGGCTGAGGTATAGTTTTAATGACATCAGTAAAATTAAATTGTCTTACTGGTCAATGAGTATTGGTGGCAGCACTTATCTCTGTTGGTAGCCAAATCAGTAGTGGAAATTCCACATTCATATGGCAGGGGACCGTTAAAAATTGGCTTACCACTGTCGAATTTTCACAAATTGGTACCTTTTTTTTTCAACCCGAAGAGACGATGACCTAAGTTGATCCCCAACCGGCACTTCCATTCGTAACGTCCTGATTGTGAGCCGAGCGTTTTGACCACACCTCCCGTGGTGGCACTCATCTGGAGGCGGGGTTCTCCGATCACGCAGAGATTGAGCTGCAGACCGTGAGATGGTGCCTTTTGAAGGCAGTACAGAAACTCGGTGTTGCACCTTACAGTTTCTGTCTGGCATGAAGGGTGCTTTCTCCTAATATACGCGGGTTTTCTCCAGTCGATCCGATGTCCTCGCGCACACAAAAAAAATACCCAATATGGAATTGGTCAACAATCCTGGACAGGAACATCAAGAAAATTATTCTTGAGACTCGGTGAGGCTTTTTATTTGTAAATATTCGTTTTTAGCCTTATCCTGTGTTAAGCTTTGTTGTCACGTGGTGTAATGACGTCACGTTGAATGTTAATATTTACAGCACACTCCGACCCTTACTTTATTTACCTTTATCCTGTGGAAATTAACGACGTAATGTGTACCTCGGGGGGGAATATGAACGTGTAGCTCATGTACGGGGGGGGGGGGGCAGGAAAGTCACACTGAGTTTCGAGACTTAATTTTTTCGGATGATCTTACTTGTGATGTTAAGCAAATTCAGTTTCGAGTATCAGGAAGTGTTGTTTTTAACTTAGGATCGTTCTGGTTGCAGCTGTAAAATTAAACAAAAAACAAAACCAGTACAAAAATATTAATATTTTTCAATTCAATACAATGTTGATTCTGTTCAGGTGCAAAGAACATGAGCTGCCGCTTAACAGCCGAGCGAGCTGGCTGCCGAACAGCTGCGTCTTTGTCCTTGAGATCCTGACTCTGCAAATGTTGCTCCAAGAGTTTGTACGTGACCTTCACATGACCGTTGCCCTTGCTCGCATTACAGAGCAGAATGTCAAAAGTCAAAGTGATTTCTTGCTCTTGTCAGCCTTAAGGCAGTGCTACTGTCCCGCTTATAGCCCTGAGCCGGTGGTAAGAAATTCTACGTTCCTATGGCGGGAGGCGATTTGAGCCGATGTCGTCACCACAAAGTAGTACTCACTTTATCAACGGCGGAGGGATAATGGGTTGAGTCAACAACAAAAAAATGGGATTTGACTCGCAACTTTCTGATTTTGAGCTGCTCGCTCTTGCTGAGAGAGAGAGGTAGTGGAAATACTCGAGCCACGTATGTGTGTGTGAGAGCACAACACGTGAGCCCATTGATTTACCACATACTTACACATATATTATATGCATTATGGTTTGTATGCAATGTGCAGGGTTTTCTTCCTGTAAGCAATTACTTGATGAGTAGGTCACAGCTAAACTGTGGGACACCTTGCATAAGCATTAGAATACACAGAGGTGATACGTTATGGAAATTCAAAGTCCCGATCCCCCTTCTGGGATCGGGCTGCTGTCACCATCCTAGAATCTCAGCCAGATCCGGAAGGCTGCTACTGTGCGAACAGCGTGGAAGAAAGGCGGACATCCAGAATAAACACATCATTCGAGACCCAAACATCGCACCACCTGGCTTTGACATGCTTTCTCCTCGAATACACCACTGGTGTAACAGAACATCAACAGGCCGATACGCACATCTCCTTCATGAGTGGAAAATTAAAGACAGGTCACAGTAGTACGATTGTGGTTATGCAACCAAAACTATGGACCATATATTCAATTACTGTAGTGTGTGCTCCTGCAAAGGAGGAATAGCAAAACTACACAAAATCTCTGCTGAAATCTTTATGGTGGCGAGCAGACTTCGACATTGGCGTTTAGCTCCTAAACATATTGCTGCCATCATATGCAAGAATAGGATAAAATTCAGAGTCAAACTTTTTTTATTATGTGGTGGTGGTGATGATGAAAGTTATCATTGTTTATATTCTTAGTTATGATTGAGATAATGATTATGATGGTGATTATAGTGTTTTTTTAGATGAAAAGGGAAAACAATGATGTGATCAAGATGTTTAGTTGGTGGTGATCATTTGGAAAGTGATTATAATGACGATGGCGATGCAGAGTACGATAGCATGCTAATATGCCAATGATCTAGGTGATTATTGAGACGGTAATGAAGATGATGAAGGTGATTATTGAGATGATAATGATCACATTAATCTGGTTGTTGAGATTATTGTGTTAATGATCATCCAGGTGATTGATGTGATGATGATAATAATGATGATGATATTCACAATGGCACTGATTATTATTCCTGCTGAAGTTGACATGATTGCGGTGAGTTTGTATAGAAGCCCAGTGGGTGCGGATTATGATGTTGTTCATTGTCAAAGTGTTGATCAATGATATGATGAATCTGATGTTTACTATTGTTAAGGACATGATTGAGGTCAGGACATGAATAAAAGCGGTCATGTAGATGATGAATATCACACTGAACCCTGCTGGTGGTGATTATCATTGATATAATTAAAGTTATGTACAGTAAAACCTTGCATTGCGAGCATAATTCGTTCTGGAAACGTGTTTGTAATCCAAAGCACTCGTATATCAAAGCACTCGTTTATCAGTTGTGGTCACGTGACGCTTGGCAGACAAAGCGTATACCGTACTACTCGTATTGCCTTCTACGTGACTTTACCGAAAGATCCAAGAATATGAATCCCTGCAGTCACGAAAGCTTTAAATCGAAATTTAAGACCTCGCTCGTTTATCAAATTATATTTATTTCCAATTTTGGCTCGTCTTGCAAAACACTCGCACTCCAAGTTACTCGCAATCCAAGGTTTTACTGTATTATATTATTGTTATTGAGGTCACGATGATGGTAATAAATCTCACATTGACCCTGCCGGTTGTGTTGGTGATGTGCGGTGGTGTCGCGGTTAGCGCGCTGTGCTATGTATCAGGCGATCCGAGTTCGATTCTCGCTCATGGCCAACACCGGTGACGATTATCTGGGCCTTCCCTAGGTCGACTCGGCCTCAAATGAGTACCTGGTGCAATGTGTACACATCGCCACTTGGTATGCAAAGGCGGCCGGGCATGGTGATGGCAACCCACCCCCTCGTGTGCCTTGCTGACCTTCATATGTGCTACTCGCTAACAGCGCTTGCCCCAACAATCTGTTAAGGCTATACGGGTTTGGAATCTTTGTCTTTGGTGTGCGTCGCAGCTGGACGTGATCGTAGTGGAGTTGGACGGAGGCACGGTGGCCGTTCCCGAATGCGTGCACCTCCCTCTACTGCCCGAGCCCCTGCTGCAACAAACCCTGACGGCGCTGTCCATGGTACTGACACCAAAACGACAGTCCGCGCACCCACGTGTCTGACCGGGTGTGACCCCAAGGGGTGGTGCTATTCGCCACTTCCTCTACCCCCGGTGATTCAGCGAGGTGTCAAGAATTGGACTCGTCCTGTGCCCCTTCCTCGCCTTCACACAAGTGCACTGACAAGCGTAGTGAAGTATGGCCCTCATGATCGACACAGCATGGGGAGGCCTTCATCCAGCAGTGGAATAATTTTAATTCTTTGCATATAAATAACATCCAAATTTACGCTTAACAAGAAATCCAACATCCGACGCAATAAAGAACGGTCATTGCCTGAAACGTCGCTTATTAAATATATATTTTTTCAATTGAAGGCGAGAGTGTTATTGGCGAACGCGTGGCATTGTTTAGCTACTCGATCGAATGCGCCGCTGCCAGCATCACCAAATAATTTGATTCGTGCACTTTCATCATTAGACTATTACAACAAGCAAAGATTTGAAAAAAAAATGTGACTGGAAATTCCAAAGGAGACTTAAAAACGAGGCAAAGAAATAATCGGCTCTTGCATCAAACTGTGACCCCCGAATTGTGACAGTTCATCAAGCAAACCGTGGAGGGAGGAGCGAATCACTGCGTTCCTTGTGTATATATGTTGTACCGTATTATTTCTTCAACGTCTTTGGCTCCCCCGCCTTTACGAACTCACACTGACGAGCGTGATTAAGTACGGTCGAAAAACACCCACGACGTGCGTGGTGTGGGGAAGACCCTCATCCAGCAGTGGATTGGCAACAGGGCTGCTGCTGCACGCGTGCGTTTGTATTCTTCTCGTTGCGTGGCGTTGACGGTGCGACAGAGCTCTGCACTTAACAGTAATAACGTGGAGCCTCAGTGTATGTATTTATGTATGTCGCACCGTACGTAACCAACTGTGCTCATCGGATTTGCGGGTGAAGGACAACAAACTAAACACAAAAAGTAGTTCTAATGAAATGAGTTTTCAATCTAGATGATTTAAAAGTGCATAGCTCCAGTGGCTTCCTAATATCGGAAGGAAGAGCATTCCAGACGGCCACAGAAGCGCATCTGGAACCGAGCGATGCGGTGAAGATCTTTGTTCGATGGCTCGACATAAGCCGCTGCTGTGAAGGTGACTCGTCCTTGACGAGATCAGCAAGGTATTGTGGTTCGCTTGTGGCAAGCACTCGGTGCCGTTGAGATGACGGTTGTGGGCCCTGTGTTGCAGGTGTTGAACCCAGACCTGGGGGTCGCAGACAATGCCTTCCCACCCTCCTGCATTGCCTGCTCGCCCCTCGACAGACTGGTAACGCCCGGGCGGGGGGGGGGGAACGACAACACAAAAATATCACTGCCTTCTCACACGTGCCTCTTTTACCACTGTTGGAGGAATTCTCAGAGCCTGGTGCACTTTGTGGATTCTAACAATGATAAATAATGATACTTTTAATATACATTCGTGTTTGATTACTTAAAGGCTTTCAGCTGTTGCACAGTGGCTGATATTAAGCTAACTATATGTGGATCTAAAAACTGGTCATCATAATGTATTGCTCATCAACAAGTGCTGTCTGCAACTCTTACGAATCACCGTGACTCTCTGGCCTCTCTCTGTGCCATGAAGAAGGGTCGTGCCCTAAAACGCCGCCTATTTTATGCTTCTCCTTTTAGAGCCACAGGTTTATTTACGAATGTGGTGGGGGCTTTTTTCCACAACACTGTAATGTGATGACGGTCTTAGGACTTGCCAACTCCTGTGCTGCTGTATAGAGAGTCAAAGTAGTTCTGACTTGGCTGTTGTAGACTGTTGTTTCATCGAGATTATAGTTACTTCATATTTGAGCCAGGTTCTGCCTTAATCATTATCGTTAACAGCAGAAGTAACAGCAGCAGCATTGTAAGCATCATCATCAAGCATTCATCATCATCGTCATCATCTGTCCATGATCTATACAAAGTAAAACACAAAGGAAATTGGTACTCGCCATGGAAATGTGGAATTTCCACCACTGGTTCAGTGTCACAAATGGAGATAAGAGCTGCGCGAAAGCATGTTTGGTCATGGGGGTAATTTCACTTGGCCGGCCTAATAATCATCATCATTTCGTATTTTTACGTAAGCACCAACAGTTATTGTAAGATCATGCATTTCACTGAGCGTTACGCCATGCATCAGTTTGTCTCGTCCAGCGTCGTCCTCTGGATGACAGCTCTGTGAGCACAGCTCTCAGTCTGATGGCTTGAGCTGATGTATTGCTTCATGATGGTCGCCCTTCACGTACCATTGGCAGAACTAAAGTATTCCTGAATGCTCACTGTCGCTTGAGTTGTCTAAAGTGGGGGCTGGGGGGCACACAGAGCCGCGAACTCGCACATGGTCGTTAACGTGTGCGTGTTGGTTCTCCGATGCGTGGCAAGATGTTAACTGCCTTGCCTCGTATAAAGGAGGTTGTGGGTTCGATCCCGACCCTGACGCCTGCTGTATGTTTGGCGTTTGCCTGGTATCCCCATTGGTCACGTGGATTTTTTCCTGGTCCACCGTTTTTTTTCCTCCATATTTAGAAACAGAGTGCATTTAGAGTATTTGGCTGCTATAAACTTCCACATGCTGATAAGCTACTTTGTTGAGCTATCATTTATGTCCAGGTTTTGCTTCTGAAGAAGAGCTCTATAGCTCATTGGGCTTTACCTGGTAAAATAAAACAGTTTAGATTAGCTTTCGGCTTTTACCATGTAATCACCGCGGAGTCCGACTTTCCACTGCACGTGCTGCTGAAACGTTTCCTGAAGACGCCCCCAACACGCAGAACGAAACGTCGGACATCGTGCCGAACAACGCGCGGAACGACGCCAAAACACGCCGGGGCAGTGCACACCGCAACCGCGAAAACCTACGCAGAAGTTGTGTTTTTGTATTTTCCCAGGACAAGGAGCTGCGTGCCATCTTCCTGCGTCTGTTCGGACGCCTACTGCAAGGCTACCGCTCGTGCCTGCAGCTGGTGCGAGTGCAGCCCACGCCCGTGCTGCGCTTCCACAAGGTGATTATGTGACGGGGTCGTGGCCGGGAGTGAGAGCTGTCGCCCCAGCGTAGGAGGAGCACACAGAGACGAAGATTCCCCCTCGTAGCCTCTCTAGACTGCTGGGCCAAGTGCTGTCAGTGAGCAGCAATGAAGGGCAGGCATGGCGCACTCGTGGGTCGTGTGGCGAGAACCACGCCCAGACGCCTTTTTTTCCCCGGTCTGTAAGTTTCTACACTGCATCAGGTATTAATTTAAGGCTGATTAAACCTATAGGGGAGCCCCAGGACCAGTTCAGTTATTCGCCATTGGTGTTAGTCCTGAGCAGGAATCGAACTCGGGCCGACGGCTTCGTAGTGCGGTCCACTAACCACTTAACTTCCTTTCCCCATATACATGTTAACACGTTTACATGTTTGTGCGTGTTAACGCGTGTGCGAGTGTAAATGTTTGTGCGTGTGTAAATGTGTGTACGTGTGTGTGCACATGTTAACGTGTGCGCACATGTGTTGAAGTGCGTGCGTGCGCGTGTACGCATGTGCGCGTGTGTAAATGTGCCTGCGCATTTTTACGTGTGTGCGCATTTGCAGTCAGCGTTCTTGGGCCAGCGGGGCCTTGTGGAGGACGACTTCCTGTCGCGGCTGCTCGAGGGCATGTCCTTCGCCACCTTCATCTCCGACAGGGGCCCCCCCTACCGTCCCTGCGACATCTTTGACGAGGTCCTACACCTCAATGCAGCTCCGGTTTCACTCGCAAAGCGTCCAAGTGCGGCCATCAATCTGTAGATCTAAACCAGCCTCCTGTAAATCACGTGACTTCTGTGTGGCCACCCCCCACTCTTAATCCCTTCCCTCTCCCCGCCCCCTGTGAAAACAGAGGCTTGTCCGTGCAGCTTGCTTCTGCTCACTCCTTCTTTCTCTCTTTCTCTCTTCCCTCCCTCTCATCATCCCCGACGTCTCGGCCCGCTCGTTCCTTCTCCCCCTCCTTCCCTTCCTGCCCGGCGCTCTTTCTTTCTCCCTGATGCTCATCTTGAGCCGTGCCGTCTCCGTCTGCCTTTAGGGACTTACTTCCCAGCAATCCCTTTCCTGGTCACCTTGCCCTGTCTGCTGCCCTTTTGTGTAACTGACTCTGTTCCCCTTCCCGTGACGTGCCAGGGGTAAAGTTTTTTATAAACAATATCACCAACATCTTTACCATCATTACGAGCAACATCACAACAGCACTAACACTGATCATCATTATTCTCATCGGTGGGGATGATCGTAACGATGACCATTATTTTAATCTGGCCGGCAGGGTGGCGAAGTGGTAATGCGTGTGCCTGACAGCAAGATGGACCTGGGTTCTACTGCTGACTCAGGCACATCTCTGCGTGGAGTTGTTTTGTTCTTTAGTTCTTGAAGGCAGAGGGGGCATGAAGGAGGTGATGGAACTTGTGTAATATCTAAAGTCGACCAGTCTATTCCAGTCCAACAAATTCACCGTCGAGAAAGCCAACGGACAATTCACATTGCACGTAGGTATATACACCGCGCTGTATTAAAAGGGTAGGATCCAGGTTATATTCTGTTTCCTGATGCTGCTGGGTGTTGTGCAGAGTGTGAATGAGCCGGCTTGGCCATGATGTTTCCCACAGCTGGTGGCGTTTGAAGTGGACCGCATGCGGGCGGAGGAGGGCGACCGGAGGAAGACGCTGAAGCACGTGATGGAGCTGGCTCATCAGCTGTACAGCAACGTGAGCAACCAACTAATTCATCGTTCAATTGGCCATTTAATCTGTCAATAAACCAATATATGAGTCGTACGAAAGTCGATCATGCGAACAAACGTGCTTAGAGACAAACCACCTTTCATAATAATAATAATTTCAACGTATTTACTTGCTCTCAAAGAGAGAGAATGACCCAGAGGCGTGAGGAACCAGCAGGAAGGTAGCGAGGCGGTGAGCCGGTGGCAATAATTGCTTAAGTTCTGCGGTCCTCTACGTATCAAGGTGTTTTTTGGCAATATAATGAGTGTTTACACGTGGGAGGAAGAAACTAGAGCACCCGGAGAAAACCTCACACGTTTGTGGGGATAACACTCTATACCCGTACAGACGGAAGGGATAGAGTCCACATTTTTCCGTACTGCATTCTCGCGAGCTGGGGGTGCGGGCACCACCTCGACGCACACGGGAAGGGGGTCTCACAACATCTTTGTGATGATCCACCGACCCTCGCGGCTTCCACAATGTCGGACTGCAGGCCACGTGCGTAGCCACCGCCGTCTGTTAACTCGGTTAGCCATCGCAGCCGTGCGCCAGACAGCGTCAGTCACAGCCAGACGGAGGCACCGCTGTGACCCCCGAGAAGACGACTGACGTGGATCAAGCGGAAATCCGTGATGACGTTAATGCTGAAAGAGTGCATCAAGTCTGCTGAGATTCATGCTCGATTGCATGCTGTGTGGGGATACATTGATGCGTATTGATATGGTGCCATCAAAGGCATTAGGCCATGATAATCTCACGGCAGGCGGGAAATTATCGAATTCCCCTCCCGCCCTGTGATTAGGTAATTTTTTCTGATTCATAAATCACGAGTTTATTCAAAAATTGCTTTTTTTTTTGTCTTTGTTGACATCATCTCATTTCTACTGCCTGTTTCGTTTGTACCGCCAACTCTCATTGCTAATGTCTCACCCGTGCCGTCTCACTTATTGCCTGGCTCGTCTCTATCGTCAGTCTCGTTTGTAACGTCTGTTATTGTTGGGTCCAATTATGTTTTGCCTAAAGCCTGACAAAAAAAAAGTAACCCAAAACATTTGAACGAATCAAAATCAATCAATGCTGAGGCTCACGATCTGATTACACTTAAAACGATAAACTGTTGTTTTTTTTCTTCTCGGTTCTTTCGGTAAAGTCACGTAGAATGGAAATATTAAAATAATATAAATAAAACTTAATAAAGTAAAGACAGGTCTGTCTTTCTGACAGACCTGTCTTTCTGACAGACCTGTTCTTCACCTGAGGACGGCTGCTTGCGTTGTGGCCAAAACGTATTGAGAATTATTTTATTATGTTTTATTTTTATTATTTTATTATTTACATTCTACGTGACTTTACCGAAAGAACCAAGAAGATGAATCCCTGCAGTCACGAAAGCTTTAAATCGAAATTTATTGTTATTTTACCAGGTAGGGCCCACTGAGCTTTGTAGTTCTTTTTCACAAGCAACCTGGCCGCAAATGATATCTCAACGAAGTTGCTTGGCGTGTGAAAATTTGTAGCAGGCAAGTACTCTTAACGCACGTTTTTAAATGTGGAGGGAACAACCGGATGACCCAAAGAAAAATCCACACGAAAATGGGGAGAGAGAGACACAAACTCCAAATATACAGCAGGCGTCAGGGTCGGCATCGAACCCACGACCTCCTGCATACCAGGCGAGGTAGTTTATCATGAGCTAAACAATCAAATCGTAACGAATTGGAATCGCTCCATGCCGATGTCTCGGCCTCGTCTTCGACCTCACCGCATTGTCGTGCTGCTTCCCCCCCCCCTTCCCCGCGGCAGGAGAACCCCAACCCGCACCTGTCGCACCACAAGGTGCCCCGCCCCACAGACGGCGCCCACCTGCGCCTGCACCAGCAGCCGTTCCCGCCGCTCGCCGCGGACGCGCTGGAACGCGCCGCCGCGGACGCGTCCTCGCGCCAGCGCAGCGCCACCCCGGCCAGCGCGCGCATCGAGAGGCGTGCCGTGGTGCCCGCGGGGCCGCCCGCTGGTGAGTGGCGGCGATGGCAGCGGTCCCCGGCCGCGCCCAACGGGCTCCTCGTCCGCTCTCCCCCCGCGAGCGAGCGTACGCTTCGGGCGTGAAAGTTATTGCTTGTTTTTAAGAGGTTTTTATTTATTTGCATTCCCAACCGCGTGGTATATTCCAACAATAAACACACTGCCCAGGTGTTGCAGGTCACGTGTGTTTGTGCGCGCGCATGCATGCGTCCTTGTTTACAGGGCTCGATGTTGGGATTTTTACAGCGTTGGCTGAACTTTTGTACTAAACAAACTCACGAGGGGTGGGGGGAAAATGAGAGGGGAGGGTGTGAGTGGCTAACACATGGGACGACGAGGAGCTGTGCATATTGCCTGGGGGATCTCGCACAGTTATCAAGGTTGTGTGCACTGGCCACACTGGGCCCGGGGGCCTTCGACGTGAGGGGGGGGGGGGTTTAAATGGGTTCTTGAGGAATGGATCTTTTAAAATCTGCCTTCTTTGCTTTAAGCGTGTGTCAACCAGGTGGTCGAGATTGGCCATGGCTGATAGGTGGAGTTGTTCCATTGCACTCAGGATGGGGGTTGTGTGAAGGTTAATTTAACGGAGCAAGGGGTGGCCGGGCGGCTCGTAGGTTTGAGCACGGAGCCGCCGGCACCTCTGAGATGCTCGTGGACGTTGCCCAACGGTGTGCGGATGTCGTCTCCTGCTGTGTCCCCCCAGCGTCTGCGCTGGACAGGAGCGGCGTGTGCGCCGTGCTGAACAGCGCCCGGCGGCTGGAGGTCATCAAGAACTGCATCACCTATATCTTTGAGAACAACTTGCTGGAGGCCAAGAAGGTATCCCGTCCCTCTGTGGGCTCTTGACAATGACGGAGAGTGCTGTGAGAGATGGGGGCAGCGCTAACACCAAGTCGGACATCAGCGGACATCTCCCAAAGAGATGGAGCGATGATATGAGATTGTGTGCAGGCGCGTGATGGATTTTTGAATCCGCGTGGCTGTACAGGGATGGCGACAGTTTGTGGAGACCAGTGGATAGATCACGGCTGTTGATGTACGTGGGTTATAACGTCATGAAGCCATGTGATACCATCACGTCTGCACTCGTGACATCAAGTTACATGGTCTGCCAGCATACGCGAATTTTATTAATTGGCCAACTGGTGGACACTAAACTATGTTTATTTCACCAGGTAAGGCCCACTGAGCTTTTAGATATTGTTCGAAGTGACCTGGCCACAAATGATAGCTCAATGAAGTGGCTTATCAGGTGGAAATTTATAGCAGCCAAATATTCTAAAAACATGTCTCTAAATGTGGAGGGAAAAACCGGAGGACCCGGAGAAAAATCGATGCGACCCCGTGGAGAACATGCGAACTCCAAATATACAGGCGTCAGGATCGAACAAACGACCTCCTGTATACCAGGCGAGGTAGTTAACATCTCGCCACTCCATACAGTTGAAGGACCCAGCTTGAGCTTAACAGCAACATTTCTATTTAGTATGCATAGCATTTGAGTCATCTAAATTGATTAATCCTTGCTTGTCCATAATAATGCTGCTGCTGATGATGATCATGGTGACTGATAATGGTTATTGACAGTAATGGTGATAGTTCAAATAATGATGATAAAAGTAATCATAGTATTTTTAGATGGGCATCTAATTGCCAAATTTGGCTGCGAGAATCATTTTTCCACTTAACCGGTTGGTTAACACATTAACAATTGGCACTTTTAACAATTGGCGCTTGCACAATTTTATTATTTTGCCTATATCGGGTGGTGAGGGGTCTCGCGGCGTAATCTCGGCTGGATGGTTACGTGGTCTCGCCCAAAAGAGTCGATTAAGAACCGTACTTTTTTTTTGCGGAAACCTGCGTGCCGAGAGACAATCGCCTCTCCCGGTCTCTCGCCGCTTCCCCCCACCCCCCCTCGCTCCCTCCGCTACGCAGGCGCTGCCGGCCGCCCTGCGAGCGCTCAAGGGCCGCTTGGCGCGCCAGGCCTTCGCCCAGGAGCTTGGCTCGTACGCGCAGCAGCCACGCACCGTGCTCGACCACCAGCAGTTCGACTACGTCGTGCGCATGGTCAACTGCGCCCTGCAGGTGAGCGCCCGCCCACTGCCGGGTCCGCAGCGTGGCACGGCGAATGGTGCTCTGATATTCGCCGACACGCTCGTTGTCTTTTCTCTCTCTCTCTCTCTGTTCCGCGCGGCAGGTGGAGGCGCTGGTGGGGGGGGGGGGTATGTAAATCTCGAGGATGTTTGTGGATGTCTGCCTTGTATGTATCTGTGTATGCCGAATTTCTATCGCACCGTACGTAGCCAACCGTGATAATCGGAGCTGCAGGGAAGGACAACAAACTAAACACAAAAAGCAGTTCTAAAGAAATGAGCTTTCAACCTAAGGAAATGACAGTTCAATTTGTCTTGATGGGGAGCGGTAGTGTAGTGGTTAGCGTGCTGTGCTATGAACCCGGCTACCTCTTTGGTGGCCGACACAAAGTGACGATTATCTAAAGCAGTCCTAGGTCTCCCCTAGATTGACTACGCCTCAAATTAGTTCCTGGTACGGTGTGTAAATATTGTTGACTAAGCCTCAAATTAGTTCCTGGTACGGTATGTAAATGTTGCCACTGGAGGGCGGACGTGGTACCATGCCGGCCTTCATAGGTTCTCGCTAACAGCACTGGCCCCAATAGTCTGTTTAGGCTATACGGGGGATCTTTGTTTTTGAGAGTGAGATAAACCCATATTGTTCTGCCGCTGTGATGACCATGCCGTCGGCAAAGCTGAGAGGGTTAATGTGCCCTCCGTTATGACTTGTAAAGAAGGCTGCAAATATGAGCAAAACAAAGGTCGTGAATAACGCTTGCGCTAGACGACGGAAGATATCTGTGCGAGGGACACAGCTATAAAACGCAATCAGAGTATGTGTACCTCGGGGTAATTGTTCAAGGTGCACAGGAATCCAAATAATGAAATTAAGAGGTGGACAAGAGGAAGATTGGAGTGCTTTTGGAAATCTGAATGTGATAATGAGAAGCAGCATTGCCAATGTGCTTACAGAAGAGAGATGCAAATCAATGTATTTATTACCTACTCCGACACGTGGACCAGAAGTGTGAATATTGACAAAGAAGTTGGAACAAAAGCTAAAAGGTGCACAGACAAGCTAGGAAATGTGCATGCTTGGAATATCACTGAGAGACAGAAAGCGGAACGCAGGAATTAGACAACATGCGCAGGTTCGAGACCTGTGTGGAAATTGCAAGGGTTATATCCATAGAACCGCCAAGATTGAAGATTGACTTCCCACAAAGTGATATTCGTTTTAATGACGAGGGTGAATGAAGGGCCAGGTCAACGTCGACCGGTACTAGCACTCGCAACCTTCCGAAACCGAGTCGAATATTCTAACCTCGGCATCACGTGGTCTCTCTGCTTTGAATGCGTACGGTGATGTGACAGGAGGTATTTTATTCCCCGCAGGACTGTTCTTGCATGGACGAATATGGGGTGGCAGCTGCCCTGCTTCCCATCACCTCCGTTTTCTGTAGGGTGAGCGATCGGGATGATAGCCAGAGGAAGGTTCTGTTTGGCTATAACCCAGCCACCTAGCCAGCTACGCACCCATTCACATAGCCACCAAGCCAGCCAGTAGTACTGAAATTTACCCACACACTAAACCAACCACTCGGTCACCCACTCATCCATCCAGCCAGGCCCCAGATGCTCAACCAGCCAGCGCCACAGCATTCCGCCGAGACACTCGATGAATCTTCTTTGCCACCGACACACGTGCCCACGAACCCACCCGCCCAACCCAGGCATGCACTCACCCAGCCACCCATCCAGTCAGCCAGATATCCAGCCACATATCAATTCACCCACCCATCCATTCGCCAACTCGCCCACCCGAACATTTGCTTACCGACTAATCGCCACACACTCTGATACTCACTCAATCAGTCATCCAGCAACCTGCTGAGACATGTAATCACTCACCCAACCACCTTCCCAACCACTCAATATTCCACCCAGATACTCACCCACGCACAGACATCCACACACACGCGCAGCCCCCCAGACATACACCCACGCACTCAGCCCCCCAGACATCCGCCCACGCGCTCAGCCCCCCAGACATCCACCCACGCGCTCAGCCCCCCAGACATCCACACACACGCGCAGCCCCCCAGACATCCACCCACGCTCTCAGCCCCCCAGACATCCACCCACGCACTCAGCCCCCCAGACATCCACCCACGCACTCAGCCCCCCAGACATTCGCCCACGCACTCAGCCCCCCAGACACCCGCCCACACACTCAGCCCCCCAGACATCCACCCACGCACTCAGCCCCCCAGACATCCACCCATGCACTCAGCCCCCCAGACATCCACCCACGCACTCAGCCCCCCAGACATCCACCCACGCACTCAGCCCCCCAGACATCCACCCACGCACTCAGCCCCCCAGACATTCGCCCACGCGCTCAGCCTCCCAGACATCCACACACGCGCTCAGCCCCCCAGACATCCGTCCACGCGCTCAGCCCCCCAGACATCCACACACGCGCTCAGCCCCCCAGACATTCGCCCACGCGCTCAGCCCCCCAGACATCCACACACGCGCTCAGCCCCCCAGACATCCACCCATGTGCTCAGCCCCCCAGACATCCACCCACGCACTCAGCCCCTCAGACATCCACCCACGCACTCAGCCCCCCAGACATCCGCCCACGCGCTCAGCCAGTGACCGCCGTACTGCGCGTTTCCTCCCCTATCCGCTGCAGAAGCTGAGCCCGGGCGTGGTGCAGTTTGCCTACACGTGCGTGCAGGAGCACCCGGTGTGGACCAACACGCAGTTCTGGGAGGCGGCCTTCTACAACGACGTGCAGAGAGACATCCGCGCCCTGTACCTCCCGCAGCCTGACAGCGAGGTGACGCTCCGTGTCGCGGTGGGGGGGCCGCGCCCCAGCCCGGCCGTGGGGTCGGAGCCTTCGTTGGGGGTTAACTCCAATTGCAAATGCGATTTGTAACTTCTTTCACCCTTACCCATGCATCGACAGTTCTAATTTAATGTAATATTCTATTGAGTGACTGTGTGTCGTTGTCTTCGTGTGGTCCGGGACTGTTCTTGCTGTTGTTTTGCTGCCTTGCCTAAGCTTGGGAATTGGTGTACTTATGCAATTTGAACTTATATACTTTTTTACGTATATTAATTTTTTGTGATTCGCTTACCTTTCCTATACTCTGTTGTATGTTTCTGACCTACCCCGACTGGACTTTAGTGAAAAAGGGAATCATAGCTCATCGGATTTCTCCATAAATATTATGATTCTAAACTCACCCCATCATGCATCCGGAACAGATAAAATGACAACTTGTACTGGAGAGAAACTGGCTCAAAAACTCTACAACAAGCGGCGGACGCGCTCCCGCTAGGCCGTGTCGCTGCTTTTGTTGCGGGTAGAGCGAGAGAAGCACGGGGCGGGCGGGCGGGCGGGCAGGTGGGGGGGGGGCGGCAGCGTCGGCGTGGGGGGGACGTAACCGCGCGAAATCCTCGCGGCAGGACCGCTCGGCGCTGGACGTGGCCGCCGAGCGGCTGCGCTCGTGGCGCCCGGTGGGGGCGGAGCGGCGGCGCGAGGAGGAGGCGGCGGAGGAGGGCGTCGTGTTCAGCCAGGCGGTGCAGTACGCGCACCGCATGGCCTGCCTGCTCGTGCCGCTCGACACGAGCCGCGGACGTGGCCTCCTGCGCGCCAGCGGCACCTGCGACGGAGAGAGCGGCAGCAACAGCGTGCCCACCAACAGGTGAGGATTGGGGGGGGATGCCGGTGGAGCAGAGGTCGCAACCGGGTACCCGATACCCATACCCTACCCGATACCCGGCTACCCGTACCCGGCCAGGTACGGGTACCCGTTTGCGACCCTGGTGCGGCCGGGTACGGGTAGGCCGTGAGTCACTGGTGAGTAACCGTTTGTCACTCATTTCGGGTAGGGTACGGGTAGGTAACGGGTACCCGTACCGGCCGGGTACGGGTACCCATTTGCGACCCCTGGTGCGGCCGGGTACGGGTACGGGTAAGGAATCAAAACCCGTTTGCGACCTCTGCGGTGGAGGCGTAGGACAGGTGTGTTTGCTGCTGGGAGGAGAGGAGAGGCCATGCGGGACGGGGTGTGTCTTGCTAGGAGGAACAGGTGGCGAGCACAGGCGTGTCTCTGGTTCGGGAGAGAGCGATGCAATGCAGGTGTCTGGTTAGGGAGGAAGAGGTTAGGAGGACAAGCACAGGCGTGTCTCCTATTAGGAGGGCAGCGTGTGAGTGGTGTGAGTGCGTGCCATCTTGAGTCGTGTAGTGAGTGAGTGTGCATGTGGTGCGTGCCATCTTGAGTCGTGTAGTGAGTGAGTGTGCGCGTGGTGCGTGCCATCTTGAGTAGTGTAGTGAGTGAGTGTGCACGTGGTGCGCGCCCCGTGCCAGCGTGGGGGGCAGCGTGGGCGAGAGCTTCGACATGGAGAGCGGCTTCGAGGAGGCGGACGGCGCCGACGTGGCGGGGACCGTGACGCGCTTCGTGATGCGCTTCGCCGACAAGGTGTGCACCGAGTGCGGCGTCACCAACGAGCACGTCCGAGCGCTGGACGCCATGCTGCCCGGTGAGCGATGACGGCGGCGGCGGTGTTAACGCGCGTCCGGTTAGCGCTGTTTGGCTACGTACGGTGCGAAAGAAGTTGAGCATCTTACATGCATGTACGTGCGTGGCCAGCGTTTTTAGTGCACGGTCTCAATCTGTGGGTTTCCCGCTTGCTCGGTTTGGCCCCTCGGAGCCGTCGCTCGGTAAAACGAAATAAAACACTCTTTGGTTCTTTCGGTAAAGTCACGTAAAAAGAAATTAAATTAAATAGAATACGACGTTTCGATTGCAACATCAGGTATGAATGAATGAGAAAACAAATCTAGTAAACTTAGAAATTTAATGCAGTACAACACAGATAACATCACAGTCAACACCCTACCTGGTTGATTACGTTCTCCCAAAGATTACTAAATTTGAGAGACTAAACAAAACACTTTGCTGGCGAATGTTTTCGTCCCCAATTTCGTTATCCAAAGTCACACTGAACGGTGGCACCCTTCACCCCACTCCTCCTCCCTTCTCCCCCTCCTCCTCCCTTCTCCCCCTCCTCCTCCCCTTTCTTCCCTTTTTTCCCTTCCTCCTGCATGAATATTCCGTACGTCAGCAAAGTTTGGGGGAGCAGTGGTGTGGTGATGAGCTCACTGCTCTATGAACCCCGGGAGGGGGGGGGCTACTTTAGTTCAGTTCCTGACCATGACTGACATCGGTGATGATTCACTGAGCTCGACTTAGCACCCCGTCTGAAAACCCTCACGGTAACTCTGCACATTGACGAGTTTGTCCGCGTGAACTCGCCGCGCGCGCGCGTTGGTCGCTCGTGAACTCTCGATGCCGTTCACGTTTGTTGCAGGGATCGTCGCCCTTCACTTAGAGTCCCTGGAAGCTGTTCACCGGGAGAGCAAGCGCCTGCCGCCCATTCAGAAGGTGACGCAGTGTGGTCGCGTGTGCTCACAAGCAGCATGGCTCTTCTGCAGAGACACATACAAACACACACATACATGGACACGTACACACACATGCACTCGCACAGCATGCCTATATTTTTTGGGCTCTCTGCCAATACTGAGTCTGTTCTCTCTACCCTTCTCTGTTAATCTACATCTTTTCTCTTGTCTCACTCTTTGTCCCTGTCTCTCCTTTTTATCTGTCTCTTTCTCTGTCATTGTCACTCTCTTTCTCCTTTCACCCCCTCCTACCCACCACTCCCTCTCCCCCCCATATGTCCCCTCCTCACCCTCTATCCCCTCACTCCCTCCTCCCCACCTCTCCCTCATCTCCACCACCTCCTCTCTCTCTCCCCTCCACCCTCACCTCACCCCCCACTCCATCACCCCGTCACCACGGCAGCCCAAGATCGTGCGCCCGCTGCTGCTGCCCGGCGAGGAGCTGCTCATGGAGGGCCTCCGCGCCGTCCTGCTGCCCGACGGGCGCGACGGCACGGCGGGGGGCCGCCTGCTGGGGGGCCCCCCGCTCCTGCCCGCCGAGGGAGCCGTCTTCCTCACCACCTACCGCGTCATGTTCCGTGGGGCGCCCAGCGACCCCCTGGGTGAGCGCCGTGCTCGCGCACAGCCACTGCTGCAGCAGCAGCGGCAGCAGCGGCGGCGGCAGAAACAGCAGTAGAAGTGGCGGCAGTCGCCACAGAAGAAGCAGCAGCAGGATTACTGCCAAGTAGCAGCAGTAGCCACAGAAGAAGCAGCAGCAGTAGCCACAGAAGAAGCAGCAGCAGGATTACTGGCAAGTAGCAGCAGTAGCCACAGAAGAAGCAGCAGCAGTAGCCACAGAAGAAGCAGCAACAGTAGCCACAGAAGAAGCAGCAGCAGGATCACTGGCAAATAGCAGCAGTAGCCACAGAAGAAGCAGCAGCAGTAGGCACAGAAGAAGCCGCAGCAGGATCCACAGAAGAAGTAGCAGCAGGATCACTGGCAAGTTGCAGCGGTCGCCACAGAGGAAAAAGCGGCAGACGTGGCAGCAGCAACAGCAGCAGTATCCACAGAGGAAGCAGCAGTAGCATCAGCAGTATCACTGGCAGCAGTAGAAGTAACAGTGGCAGCAGCAGATGGAGCACCATTAGTAGCTGGTTGTATGAGCAGTGGACAGCAGCAGAAGCAACAGATGTGTCAGAGGCGAAAGTATCAGCTCTGGTCTGAAGAGCATCAGCGGTAGCAAGACCAAAATAAGCCTGAGGAATAAGAACGGTAGGAGAAGAAACAGCAGCAGCAGTAACAGGGCAGCAGGTACTAGCAGCAGCAGCAGTGTCAGCATGGGGATGTCCCGCCTGGCAGAGGTCGCAACCGGGTACCCGATACCCGTACCCTACCCGATACCCGGCTACCCGTACCCGTCCGGGTACGGGTACGGGTACCCGTTTGCGACCCTAGTGCGGCCGGGTACGTGTACGGGTAGGCCGTGAGTCACTGGTGTGTAACCGTTTGTCACTCATTTCCCAACGTCTTGTCTCTTCTCACAATTCAAGTTCCTAGAATCAACCCACCCGCGCCTGCAACATGGCTTCATCCCAGAAGTCGCAATTGGGTACCCGTACCCTACCCGATACCCGGCCGGGTACGGGTAGGGTACGGGTACGGCCGGGTACGGGTACCCGTTTGCGACCCTGGTGCGGCCGGGGACGGGTAAGGAATCAAAACCCGTTTGCGACCTCTGCCGCCTGGTGACCTGCTCACAGTCTCTCTTACCAAAAGACCCGATGTCTCTCAGCGGGTTCTCAAGTCACTGTCGTCGACAAAGTGTCTCCCTGCTCATGCAAGGGTGGTTCGGCGTTCGTTTCCACATGTGGTCCGCAACCAGAGGTGGACATTCCCCATTCCTGTGGTTGGGCCCAGTTTGTCCAAAGGACGACCGCCGTTGATTTCCCGCAAAGCTGATGTGAATGTAATTATGAAGATGAGCATCGAAGGTTGACGGGCAGGGTTGACTTCCAAATGGGATTTGAACCCACGGCCCTTTTGACTGCAAATTATTAAGAGCTGTGGCGCAGCGCTTTCTATCCAGAGGTCGCCGGTTCGATGTGCGAGCGTGGCAGTTGAAACAGAGGCGCACGTTTGTTAAATACTCCCACCGATGTCCACCCAGCAGCGTAAATAGGCATTCCACTATTCCGTCAGTTGGCAGGTTGCGTGCGGTGGCGTCGACTTGGCCTCGAATGAGTACCCGGTACGATGTGTAAACATCGCCACTCGGGAGACAAAGGCGGCCGGGCGTGGTGTTGGCCACCCACTCCCTCACGTCCCGAGCCAGCCTTCATAGGCGCTCGCTAACAGCACTTGCCCCTACAGTCTGTGAAGGCTACACGGGGGATCTTTGTCTTTGTTCTGTGCAGTGGGCGAGTACCCGGTGGTGCGCAGCTTCCCCGTGTCGTCGCTCACCAAGGAGAAGCGCATCTCGGTGCACGCGCAGCTCCACCAGGACGTGCACGAGGGCCTGCAGCTGCAGTCGGCCACCTTCCAGGTAGGGCACCCGGCACGGCACCCGGCACGGCACCCGGCACGGCACCCGGCACGGCACCCAGCACGGCACTCGGCACCGCACCCGGCACGGCACCCGGCACCAAACACAGCGTCCAGTACCACACCCAGCACAGGATCCAGCACAGGACCCAGCACATGCCACTCACTGGTCATTTCCACTCAGCTTTATACACACACACACACGCGCGCAGCTTAATACACAGGTAAAGACAAAAATCCACCGTGTAGGCTGAACAGACTGTTGGGGCAAGTGCTGTTAACGAGCACCTCTGAATGCCGGCACTGCGCACGAGGAAGTGGGTGGCCAACACCACGCCCGGCCGCCTTTGTCTTCCCAGTGGCGATTTTTACACATCACACCAGGTACTCATTTGAGGCTGAGTCGACTTAGGGAAGGCCCAGGACCGGTTCAGATAATCATCACTGGTGTTGGCCATGAGCGGGAATTGAACTTGGGTCATTGGGTTTGTAGCGCAGCACACTAACTGCTACACTACCGCTCCCCTAATACACACGTACACGGCTTAATACACACACACACAGCTTGATACACACACATACACCTTGATACACACACACAGCTTGATACACACACACAGCTAAATAAACCCAACACAGAACCCCGCACATGCCACTCACTGGTTATTGGCACGCAGCTAAATACACACAAACACCTTCCAGCGAGCCTTCGACACTTTGCATGGCCTCAAGGTGTGCCTCGCCTGGCACAAGTACTGTGGTGACATCACCGCCACTGCGACGAGTAGTTGGTTTTCTTGTTGGAGCTGGCCACACCACCCATCCCTGTCTCACCCCGGCCTCAGCAGGTGCTCACTACAACAGCCTTTGCTCCTGTGGTCTTTAAGGGAGAATTTCTAACATCTACCAACTAAGGTTGAACGCTTTTATTGCATTCGCTCCGTTTGTCCTGAATGGGAGGCGATTGTGACTGTCGTAAAGATGATCCAATAAGAACAGAGTAGTATAAAGCTGCGTCAGCTGTTCGAGACTCATCCTTCTGAAATTCGGCCAAATTGATCAAAGGGTTTCCCAAACGTTGGAGACGCAAACCAAAGCAAAATCATGACGACTCGCAAACGCGCAAACACATTTTCCCCTGCCGGCTAGCTGCCGGTTTCCAAATAATTTTTGAGACGAAGCGCGTTTAGGAAGGCGCGTTGCACAGAGTGCTCACGAGTGCGTCATTCCCTCCTGGCTTGTCCCCTCGCTCTCGGGGCAGCTGCTGAAGCTGGGCTTCGACGTGGAGGTCAGCTCGGAGACGGTGGAGGGATTCCGGCGGCACCTGGCACGCCTGCGATTCCCCCCCTCGGCGCTCGCCACGTTCGCCCTGTCGCACTGCGCCGGCTCCGCCCAGAGCCTGACCCTGAAGCCCAAGGAGAAGCACAACCAGTCGATCGTGTGAGTAGCGCGGCCGCCCACTCGCCCGGCTCGTCCGCTCCCTCGCACGGTGCCGCACGCACTCGTCCCGCTGGCTTGACGAATTGCTTGCCGGCGTCCGCTCGCTCAGTCGCTCGCTCGCTCGCTCACTCAGTCGTTTTCTTGAGCACGTCCTTGCTCATTCGCTCTTTCACTCGCTCACCCTCTCACACACTAAACAGTTCCAAGATTTCGCACGCATTTCGGATCAAAAGCAATGAATGTAGCTGCCCCAACGTTTCGTCTCTTGGCATCTGCACTCAGCCGTCTGTGTCCTCATTTAAACTGACAGCATTAAAATGACTAAAGTTAAAGTATGAATGTAATCTTTCAATATAATTGCTATTCTTACGTTTGTTTGTTTTTTATCTGTAATTGTGGAATGCTTTGATGTTGTCTGCTAGCCGAGTCGCCCTTGAAAAGGAGATTCTTAGCTCAACTGGCTTTACTCATCAGCCTATTCAATATATCCCCACACCTGCAATTAACACGGTTGGCAAAGGAAGAAGTTCAACAGGCATATATACATCAATAACTCAATTGATAGTTTACATGCTCACTAACTTTCTCAAAGACAAAGTTCCCCCGTATAGCCTTAATAGACTGTAGGGGCAAGTGCTGTTAGCGAGCACCTATGAAGGCCGGAACGGTACATGAGGGGGTGGGTGGCTAGCACCACGCCCGACTGCCTTTGTTTCCCCAGTGGCGATGTTTACACACCGCACCAGGTACTCATTTGAGGCTGAGTCGACTTAGGAGAGGCCCAGGACCGGTTTAGATAATCGTCACTGGTGTTGGCCGTGAACGGGAATCGAACCCGTGTTTCTGGGTTCATAGCGCAGCGCGCTAAACGCTGCACTACCGCTCCCCACTAACTTTCTCACCCACTCACTCACTTCGCTTACTGATAGCGCTCATTTCCTGTCTTTCTCGCTCGCTCACTCACTCACCGCCTCACACGTACGAAACCACTCACTTATTCATATGCTCGCTACCTCCATCACTCGCACACTTGATCTCTCAACTCACCAACTCAGGCCCGCGCTCGTTCACGCGCCCACTCGCCCGCTCGCTCACGCACGCGGCCCACCCTCGCTCGACCCACGCTCACCTGCGCTGCGGTTGTTGCTGTGCAACTCTCTCCCTTTCATCGCAGCTCGATATCAAAGAACATCGTGAGGAACGCCAAGGCTGGGATGAGGACCATCGGCTTGCAGATCCCGACCAAGAAGAAGCTGGGCATGCAGCCCGGCCATTGCTTGCCCGTCATGCAGGAAGACGACACACTCTCCAGTGAGACACACAGCTTCCTCTCCTCCTTCTCCTCTCCTCTTCCCTCTCCTCCCTCTCCTCCCCTCCTCCCTCTCTCCACCGTCACTCGGGGCTCATGGCCACATCCTCACACTGATGCCATTCACGTTTAGCCACCGGTGGTATTCGCCACAGGGCATGACCCATTGTGTTGTTTATTTTGCACTTATCCTAAACGTTGTAAAATAACGTTTTACCAACCAGTGGGAGAGGAAATATCCCTGACTTCTCCACTCCAGCAACCAAAGCAAGCCCTCGGTCAGCCTTTTCCAAGTGGAAGGTTTCTTATGCTGCTCGCATAATCAGAAACTCTCTTTACTCAGCCATCCGTGCTGTTGACTTACTGGCCCTGTTGAATTCCAAGCTCCAATGCCTTCGGTTTTTTCCCACTCTTGCCTATGATTGACCGGCTGCTCACACATGTGCCTGGCTGTAGGGCCGGCCGTCTGGCCGGCCGTGTGGCTGTGCGTGCGGCCACAGTCTCTGAGGGTCGGCATCCCTAACTCTCGTGGGAGCTCGAAAACTCCGTGGCTTTGCCTTTTCGACATTGCTCGTGGTGTCGTCGCTGGGGACACGGCCGTCGTCATGGCTGACTATGTGGTGCGGCGGGATTGTGCGTGCCTGTGTGCGTGTGTGCGTGCGTGCCTGCGTGCGGCGCAGTTTCCGAGGATGGCGAGCCTCCCGAGGGCAGCCCCACGCTGCGGCCGGAGCGCGCGACGCTGGAGCGGCGCTCGGAGCGCTTGTGCTGCCTTGACTACCAGCGCCTGGGCCTGGGCACGCTCAGCAACAGCCTGAACCGCGCCGGCACCGAGCCCTTCCGCATCACAGCCGCCAACCGCCTCTACCACCTCTGCCACAGGTGGCCGGCCAGCTCTCCGCTGTTGTCTCTTTTTCCGCAGTGTCGTTACAATACGGCTGTTAACTATTTACGGGCAAATCACACGGGAATGCTTGGATGGGCTACCACCGTGCAATGACAGGTGTTTTTATGGGCTGCGGGGCTACGTTGTGAGCAGCAATGTCTCTTGTTGTAGCGGACTTTCATCCCCGCATTCGCCAACCCACACTGATCCAGCGTGGTGAAGTATGGTCCGATAACCACTATGACCCCCACTCATCTAGCAGCGGATTGATAGAGGGCTGTACATTTGTGTACGTGCTATTATTGTTATCATGTCATGAGACAAAGTGTCCATTCGGAAATTCATGCAATTCACCACAGGATTTTCGACTGAGAATTGTTTGTCATATGCCAATCGTACTAATATCGTGCTTTATTCTCAGAGCTAGAATTTGGCCAAATTAAGCTCAAAGCAATTTTTGCGCATTCATTGGTAACCAGGCTGAGACCATCAATATGTCACCATTGAGAACTCACTTTAATTCTAGATTGGAACCCATGATCTCAGCAGTGCTGTGACCTCTGATCCACCTCGCCACCTTTGACCTGGAAGCTTCATCTATGTGTAGATAAGTACACAGACGGTGTCCTCGTGTAGCCAAACAGAATGTTGTGCTGTTTGCGAGCACCTCAGTAGCGTAACGAGCATGGGGGCAGGAGGGTGCCTTGCCCCCCCCCCCCCTGGTGGCCAAGCCTACGAGTTGGGGGGCCCCCTTGACAACTGCCGTGAGATATGTTTTCAACAACGGTGCAAAAAAAAAACCACACAAACTTATTTAAAACGCGGTTTACATTCATTTTTACGAACATGCTTTCATTTACGTTTCACGTTTTATTTTACTTTAATTAGAGCAGTAACGTTTGGCCTCCGCAAATCGCGCAAATCAAATATCGGGGCCCCACGTGACCGATTGCCGCACCAACCCTGAGCCGATAATGTGGTCACGCGACTGGAGCATCCCCTCCTCTCGTCTCCACAATCCACGAGGGAGGTGATGTGGCCAGCCCTCCCGCTGTCCGTGCACGAGGTATTGGTTTAAGGCTGAGCCCGCCATGAGAAAGGGAGGTAGCTGGACAGATTCAAGTAGCACACATGCCATTGACGTCAGCCGTGGCTGGGATCTGGCCACGAACAGTGCACAAACCACTCTACCACTGCTCCCCATGGACACATACCTACACGTACGTACACTCGCGTACGCACGGCGTGCTTCTGGATTGCTTCTACACTTGCCCAGCGTGGGCGTCATCGAAGCTGACAAGTTGATATTTTGATAGTGGTGGTGACTGATGATATTAAATATTACAGTGATCATGCTGCTGATATTGAAATACTGCTAATGCTGTTTCTGCAGCATCGATAATGATGATGATAACAATGCTATTGGTGGTGACACAGACAAAGATGATTATGAGGCTGTTGGTAATAATGATGGTGACGCTGCTTATGACAATAATGCTGCTGATGATCATGGATCTGCTGCTGCTGATGATGATGATGAATCTCCTTCTCCAGCTGCTGCCGATGGCTCCATTTGTAATCCTGCTGGAGCTGCTGCTACCGACAATGACACCAATGGCAACGGCAGTGACGATGACGTTAAACAACACTCACGTGGGCAACCTCCTCCCCTCCTGTGCACCGTCCCCCCCCCCCCCCGTCTCCCCCCAGCTACCCGGGGCTGCTGATCGTGCCGCAGGCGGTGAGCGACGCGGCGCTGCAGCGCGTGTCTCGCTGCTACCGCCAGGGCCGGCTGCCCGTGGTGTGCTGGCGCCACCCACGCGCCCGCTCCGTGCTGCTGCGCTCGGGGGGGCTGCAGCAGAAGGGGGTTGTGGGAGGCCTCTTCCGCAACCCCAGCCCCCACGGCAGCGGAAACGGTGGCCTCGGTGAGCTCTCCGTACCCCCTCGTGCCCCCACCCTCCGTCCAACCCTTGACGAACTTAAATCAGAGACGTTAATATTTGTCGACGAAGCGTTTTTTTTTCATATATTTTGATAGAACGTGAATTTTGAGTCGACGAAGGTTATCGAGAATGATGGTCACTGCGGCTGGTCCACCGAGGATCAAATTACGGACGATCATCATCATCATCACTCTTGTCACGTTCATTATTAGATCCACTGAGGCTGTCCCGGGTAATCAAAGCAGTCATCGTCATTATATAATGCAGTGGTTGTGGCTGCCATTGCGGGCTTCATTGGTCAAATTATATATTGATTGATTGATCAGGTGATGGATTGCTTGATTTTGTCAGCTGGTTGGTTGGCTGATGGCCAAGTGATTGATTGGGCGCCTAAATTGATTGGTTGACTGAATTATTCTCTGATTGTACGATTGGTTGGCTGATTGATTAATTGGGTGGCTGATTGCCAGATTAATTTATTTATGACTGATTTATCATCATCAGCTGATTGATTGGTCGGTCAGCTGATTGATCAAATAATTATAATCGATCGGTCGGCAGTTTGGTTGTATTATTTAGTTTATTGGTCGGTTGGTTTGACCAATCGATTCGCTTAATTATCAATTGATCTCTTGATTGGTTGATTTGACACCCGAATCAGGTCCGGCCTCGTCCGAGTCCTCTGCGAGCCTGGAGCAGGAGAAGTACCTGCTGGCCATCATGGCCACCATGCCAGGGGCGGCCGCGGAGATCTGGGGTCGCGGGGTCACCGTCCGCGGGTCCCAGGCCAACCACGACGCCGGTGAGACTTCGCGGACGCTCCTCGCTAACAGCACTCGCCCCAACGCTCCGTGAGGCTGCGGGTTAAGGTGCACGTGTGTGCAGTTGCGTGGGGAGCGGTCGCGTAGCGGTTAGCGCGCCGCGCTACGAACCCGGCGACCCGAGTTCCATTACCGCTCGTGGCCTACACCAGCGGCGATTATCTTAAACGTTTATGGGCCTCCCCTAGGTCGACTCAGCCTCGAATGAGTTGATGGTGTGGTGTGTAAACGTCGCTACTGGGGAGGCAAAGACGGCCGGGCACGGTGCTGACCACCTTCCCCCTTGTGTGCCATCTTGGCCCTCATAGGTGGTCACTAACACCACTTGCTCCTTACAGTCTGTTAAGGCTGCACGGGGGATATTGTTTGCAGGTGTGTGCATAGTCTGGGCAACGTCCCATCGGTGAGCTCCTCTGGCAGGCAAGGCTGCGTTGGCTGGGTCATGTAGCCCGCATGCCCAGCCACCGCATGCCTAAACAGCTTTTGTCCGGCCGGATCGAGGAGGCTAAACGGGCGCGGCACGGGCTAGAGAAGAGATGGAGTGATGTGGTACAGGAGGACGTGGAGCTGAGTGGACTTGCCGATGACTGGTACCGGCGGTGTCAAGATCGGCCTCAGTGGAGGAGGCTCGTGAAGGACGCTACTGGGCAGTTGGAGGCAGTCGCCCTCCAACAACAACGGAGGGCGGAGGAGCGACGCTCACAACAACAAGCGGAGCGCCGGGTGGCTAAAGCACAGCAAGTTGGCACAGTAGGGGGCACAGGTGGTGCATCAGCCAGTCATCTCGGTCATCTCGGTCAGTCGACCCGTGGCACCTGCTGGGTCTGCCCCGTGACCTCCTGCCAGCGGGCGTTCGACACGTCACGTGGCCTCAAGGTGCACTTGGCCTGGCACAAGTGTCGTGGTGACGTCACCGCCACTTAGTGGCGAATGGCGGTTGTTGTTGTTACATAGTGGGGAGCTGCAGTGTCGTGGTTGTTCCACTGCTGGAGTTCAATTCTCAGCAATGGCTAAGATCAGTGGTCTACACACTGGTGGCTGTTGTTATTGTGCACACACGCACCTGTACGTGTGTGTCTGCGTGTGTATGTGTGTACACCTTTATGTGTGCTGTCCGTGTGTTCATGAAAGTTAATCTGTTCCGCGTGTGCTTGGGCATGAGCTTATGTATGTCTGTCCCCTCTGTTCTAACACACCGGCGTGGCCTCACACATGAACACATTCACGCTCATCTGTTCACTGCTCACACCGGTATGCTCTCACACAATAATGATAACTTACACTCTTACTCGCACACACATGCTCACACACACACACTCACAATCAAACACAATACACACACGCTCACACTCACACGCACGCACACAAACACACGCTCACACACTCACACATACACCCTCACACTCAAACGCATACACACACATGCACACACCGGCACACTCGCACCGCAGCGAAGTGGGGCAGCCTGCGCGTGGGCCGTCGCTTCACCAGCAGCAGCAGCACAACCAGCGGCAGCAACCAGACGCTGAACCAAACTCCGGCCGATTCGGCGACCACCACCACCACCACCCCGCCACCCGGCACGCCCCGCCTGGACGTGCGCGGCAAGACCTCCGGCGGCCGCGACCCTCACCAGCTGCCGCTGAGCATCCACAAAGCGGCGCTCTACGTCGTGGGAGACAAGGCCCAGCTGAAGGTGGGGGGCCCCCACCGCTCCCCCCCACCGTTCCCCCCCCCCCCACCACCCCTCAAACACGACGATCCGCCCGCTCATCTCTGTGGCCGTCTGGAACGCTCTTCCTTACAATATTAGAAAGCCACTGGAGTGGTGTATTTTTAAATCGTCTTTTTGTGTTTAATTTTTGTTGTCCTTCCCCCTTACCTCCGATTCGCACGGTTGGCTACGTACGGTGTGAAAGAAGTTCAACACACAGTACACACATTCCTCCGAGGTTGCGATTGCCGTCTCTCCCCGAGACGTTGACTCTAAAGCCGTGGACAGCCAGCCCACTGGGTCTCCGACCGCCGTCGTTCCCGCGCTCATTTTTTTTTTTTACCCGCCATCGCCCTCCGACCCCGCAGGGCTGGCGGAAGGAGGGCCTGGTGGCGATGGAGACCATCCCCGTGGAGATGGCCGACCTGTCTGCCACGCGCAGCAGCTTCCGCAAGCTGCTGCACGCCTGCTGCCCCAGCTCCGCGCCCACGGACGGCGGCTCCTCCGCCTTCTTGACGGCGCTGGAGCAGTCGGAGTGGCTGCCACAGGTGCCGTCCATCGTGTTTTGTGTCCGGGCGGAACTGGCCGTAATATTTTAGCCGAAGGGTTTGGGAATTCGGCTCGCTCGCACCTTTTTGTTGGTTATCGGGATGACGTCATGGTGCATTCAATTGAAAATGCGTCGTGAAGTTGTCACATTTGTAAAGCCAATTTGGAGTGATAGAGTGTCGACAGAGAGGCCTTGGTTGCTGTAGTGGTGAGTAGAGCAAGGAGAGAGGGGGGAGAAGGGCAGGCAGCAGGTTACTCCTGCAGGACCTTGAAGAGAGGGAGCGCAGTCTTGGAGATGATTTGCGTGTTGATTGAGAGCCAGTCGAGAGATCTGGGGAGCCGTTGTGATTGGTTCTGTTCTACGGGGACAGAGGGTGAGTGTTTCGGCGACGTTCGTAATACTTGATGTGCGCGAGAGAACCACGTTTCCCCAGCTTAGCGATCAATGTTGGGTGTCGGTAAGATTACTGAAACTGGTAAAAAAAATGCCTGATCTTGGAGGTCCGGTGGTGAAGGATCTAGCATAAGGAAGTTTCATTGATGGCAAAGTGTGCTTGCATGATCCTCGATGACCTCGTGTCTGATAGACAACATCAAAACCTTGATGTTGCCTATCAGAATGAGAATCTTTATGTATATTGGAGGAATCCGATAAGCTTTAAACCTCTCTTTCACAGATGTCCAGGAAACACAGATTAGATTTCCATGCATTTATCTTTAGCACGCAGCCCATCATCCGCTTACGGTCTTGACGTTGTATCTTGCTGCTTTTGCGGCACAGCGTGGAAAGTCATAGTGCAATTCAAACGCAGCTTTCTGTTTCTCCCTCTGTCTCCCCCCACTCCCCCCACACACGCAATGTGGCGTCCTCACCCACAGCTGCAGCGCCTCTTGCAGCTGAGTGGCCTGGTCGTGGAGCTCCTGGAGGGAGGGTCGTCCGTCATCGTGGGCCTGGAGGATGGCTGGGACACGACCACGCAGGCACGGTGTAATGGCAAAGATCCCCCGTATAGCCTTAACAGACTGTTGGGGCAAGGGCTGTTAGCGAGTAGCACCTATGAAGGCCGGCACGGCGCACGAGGTGGTGGGTGGCCAGCACCACCACGCCCGGCCGCCGTTGTCTCCCTCGTGGCGATGTGTACACACCGACCCAGGACCAGTTCAGATTATCGTCACTGGTGTTGGCCGTGAGCGGGATTCGAACTCGGGACCCCGGTTCGTAGCGCAGCGCGCTAACCGCTACACTACAATTCCCCACACACACACCTGTGAATGTGCATGGCCGCTGTGTTTTTGTACATACAAACATAACACTATTGGTAAACCCAGATACTGTCTACAAACAACAACAACAACAACACCAATTGATAGTTGTTTCTGTGTGGGCCAAATGGCAGTGCATTACCCAAATTCTCGTCATTAAACCCCTCCACGACCCGACGAGATTGTTATACGTGGCCAGTGTGTTGATCGAAATCTGATCAATAAAGCTCCTCACCGGCACGTATGTTAAATTAATGTCATGAAAGGTGTTATCTTAGTAACCCACATAAACGTGGGGGTACACAGCTTGCAGAGATTAAGCTCAAGAATCCCTCACTGTGCTGCTGTCTTCTGGCAAGCTGCCCTGGTATTCCCAGGCAGTCTCCCATCCAATCACTCACGATTCTCACCGCGGCTTCGCTTCGGAGACCGGACAAGACGGGGCGCGATCAGGGCCGTTCGCTACGAGGCAGACGCGATCACGTTATCCGATCAGCACGGTTGGCTACGTGCTGTGCGAAAGTAGTTAAACATGTCTACGTACGTACGTACATCCGTTCCCGCTACGGGATCGGCGGGCGTGCGTGCGCCGTCGATTGACGGCCGATGCCCCCGCTGCGGCCCCCCCCCCCCCCCGCGCTCCGCGAGCCAGGTGGTGAGCCTGGTGCAGCTGCTGAGCGACCCGTTCTACCGCACGCTCGACGGCTTCCGACTGCTCATCGAGAAGGAGTGGCTGGCGTTCGGGCACCGCTTCGGGCAGCGCAGCAACATGGGCGCGGGCGGGCAGAGCGCCAACTTCACCCCCGTCTTCCTACAGTTCCTCGACTGCGTGCACCAGGTGATTGCCTCCCGCGGCTGTCCGACAGCGGTCTGCAAACTGTTGGCAACATTCGCTCGCTCCGCCCGCTCGCTCGCCCGTCGTTTTCCAATCGGTCGATCAACGTGACGTTTATAACGCACCATAACTCCGCAAAGCCAAGACGGAAGCACGGATGGTTATAGACCTAGACTAGGCCGTGATCGGCGCTGGAGATTAAAACTAAACTATTGAAACTATTTTCAATTTTTCGAATTAAAGCTTTCATGACTGCAGGGATTCATCTTCTTGGTTCTTTCGGTAAAGTCACGACAGACCTGGTCTTCACCTGAAGATGGCTGCTTGCGTTGTGGCCGAAACGTCGTGAGAATTATTTTATTATGTTTTATTTTTATTATTTTATTACTTCCCTTCTATGTGACTTTACCGAAAGAACCAAGAAGATATTTTCTATTTTACCAGGTAAGGCCCACTGAGCTGTAAAGCTCATTTTCAGAAGCGACCTGGCTATCGCAAATGATAGCTCAATGAAGTGGCTCATCATGTACGCAAACCCGCTTCACCCGTTGCTTGATCCGGCTCTTCTCCCTGCTCCCTCCCCCCCATAGCTGCAGTATCAGTTTCCCACGGAGTTTGAGTTCAACGATTACTACCTACGGTTCCTCGCCTACCACCACGTCTCCAACCGCTTCCGTACCTTCCTGCTCGACTCGGACTACGAGCGCATCGAGCAAGGTGAGCGGTATGAGCAGGGCGAGCGCGTCGTGCGAGGTGAGCAGGGGTGAGCGCTCAGACGCAGCTCTTCCTGGGAGCACACGCACACGGCAACACAGCAATACACAGACACAACACACACCAACACAGCAACACGCTTACACAGCACACGCATGCGGCAAATACAGCAACACACGTACACAGCACACGGTCACCACGAGCTCGGGTCGCCGGGCTCCTAGCACAGCAAGCAAACTGTACACACACGCGCACGCACCTGCATGCACCCGCAAACATGCGCCCCCTGAATGCTGCCGTGCGTGTGACCGCGCGTGCTGCAGGCGTGCTGTACGAGGAGAAGGGCGCGCGCTCGTGCGGGCAGTCGCTCTGGGAGTACGTGGACTCGCTGCACCGCAGGGCGCCCCTCTTCTACAGCTTCCTCTACTCCCCCGGCGAGGACAGCGAGGTGCACGCGTGAATCCGCGGGGACCGTGCGGAGTGGAAAACCCGCACGGGACCCTCGTGAACAGAGAGAGTTTTCGGACTCGGCGAGGCTTTGCTGGGCAAACGGGCATCGTAGTCGTACTGCTATTAATGATCATCTATGCCTCGAGTTTCCTGACTGGCTGCTGGCTGGGCTCCTCTCCACCACAACAGTCACTCTGTTTTGTCAATGGCTGTGGGCTGTTGCCACCGAAACTAGCTGGGTAGCTGGCACATTTGGCTACGTAAGGTTCGAAAGAAGTTCAACATACACACATACAAGCTGGATTTCCCATGTAATAAATGAGCATTGAGTTGAATTGAAATGGAAGAAATTCAGAAGGCGTATAATAGATAGCGACACCGAAGAGGTGGGAGCAGCGAACACAAAGAAGACTGACCATGGTTCATTTAAAATCGCTCTAACTTTAGAATTCGTGCTCCAATTAATGTTATAATTTCACCGGAATATCCTTTAAACTCACAAAATATGCATTATCTTGGCATTTCATGATGCAAAAAATCAGGTTACTTTTAGCGATCCGAGTACAGGATTGTGATGAAAGTACGAACAAGAAGAGCTGTATTCTTGGGTCTTTCGGTAAAGTCACATAGGTAGGTTCAAAGAAAGTAACAAAAAATAAACAAAAACTATGACGTTTCAATCGCAACACAAGTGGTCGTCTACAGGAAAAAGGGAGACGACTGCTTGTGTTGCGATCGAAACGTCATAGTTCTTTGTTATTTTTTGTTATTTTCTTTTAACCTATCTACGTGACTTTACAAAAGACCCAAGAATATGAATGCCTGCAGTCACGAAAGCTTTAAGTCAAGATTTAAGGAGAGCTGTCTCCTACGTCGCGTTGCAGCGCAACGGGTTCTCCACTTGCGACAATAACAAGCGTTTGTGCGTCCGCATGCCAGGTACTGCGCCTGTGCTGCTCCACGGCCGCGCTGCACCTCTGGGGCTACTACACCGGCGAGGCTCTCAGGGAGGGGCCCCCCTACGACCCCGAGCTGCTGCCCGAGGCGGGGCACGGGGCGGATGAGTGGGCCCCCGACGGGGCGCCGGGGGGGGGCGGCTGCGGCACGGCCGTGGCCCAGAGCGGCCGGCGCACGCTGTGGTGGGGCTACGACGGGGTGGCGCGGACTCAGCCCGATGGCATCACCGCCATGCTGCAGGTGCAAAGACAAAGATCCCGCCCCCTGTATAGCCTTGAACAGACTGTTGGTGCAAGTGCTGTTAGCGAGTAGCACCTATGAAGGCCGGCACAATACACGAGGGGGGTGGGTGGCCAGCGCCACACCCGGCTGCATTTGATCCTTATGGCGGTACCCCGGGGTACCAAATAAGAAAAACTGGCCGATGCAATTAAATATGTTATTTCTGAGGGGATTCATATTCTTGGTTCTTTCGGTAAAGTCACGTAGAAGGGAAATAATAAAAATGATAAAAATACAACAATCAAATTCTCACGGAGTTATTTTTTTCTTGCTGTGGTTTTTACACCTGATGATGATTGCTTGTGTTGCAATCGAAACTTCGTGAGAATGTTATTTTTTATTTTTTTATTGTTTCCCTTCTACGTGACTTTACCAAAAAACCAAGAATATGAATCCTTGCAGTCACGAAAGCTTTACATCGAAATTTATGAGGGGATGTTATCACGATAATTACTTATTTAACCAGGAAAGCCAATAGGTCAATAATAAATATTAAGGGGTCCCTGCATTGTGCCTCTGGGCTAACACCAATGCTACTGTATGCTTTTAGCTATGGGAGGTAACCAGAAATGCCCACGCAGAACAGGGGGCCACAGCATACAAACTCCACGCACAGAAAGGCGCCCGAGCCAGGAACCGAACTCAGGCCTTGTATCACCACTGCACCACCACCCTGCCGTCCGTGGACAAGTGCTGCTACAGCTGTACGAGTGGAGGGCTGACACTGCTGCTACCGCTGTGTCCCGGCAGGAGATCCAGCGGCTGGAGACGGCTCTGGGCCGCACGGGCGAGCACTGGAAGGAGACCTGGGACCGCGCCAGGGCCAAGGTTCCCCACACCTCCCCGGTGAGACTGCACGGAACCGAGAGGGGTAGCTTCTCGCACTGTGTGTGTGTGTTTGTGTGTGTGCGTGTGTATGTGCGTGTGTGCGTGCTGTCCCAATGGGGAGCGATAGTGTCGCAGTTAGCGCGCTGCGCTATGAACCTAGCGACCCGGGTTCGATTCCTGCTCACGGCAAACACCAGTGACGATTATCTGAACCGGTCCTGGGCCTCCCCTAGGTCGACTCAGCCTCAAATGAGTACCTGGTGCGATGTGTAGACATCGCCACTCGGGAGACAGAGGCGGCCGTGCGTGGTGTTGGCCACCCACCCCCTCGTGTACCGTACCGGCCTTTATCGGTGCTCGCTAACAGCACTTGCCCCCACAGTATGTTAAGGCTATACGGGGGATCTTTGTCTTTATCTGTTGTGCTGTCCCAAAGGTGGCCGCAGGGCATGGTGCTGGCCACCCACCCCCTCGTGTGCCAATGTCGGCCTTTGTAGGTGCTCGCACACAGCACTATCTCTAACAGTCTGTGAAGTCTATACGGGGCATTGGGGGGGGGTTTGTCTTTCACGTGAATACAAATACAGTAGTACAGTGGTGCAACGTCACATGTCTGTCTCTCTGGGGATTGAAGTATAAGCAGATGTGTGAAAAGTTTTGGTCTGTGAACGTCTGTAGAGCGTGACAGTTTCACGATGTACAAATACATCACTGGGCGAGGCGGTTAATCAGTCCATGTGGATATGTGTGAGCAGCCGGATATGCAACATTTTTATGTAGTTACCAGTGTGTCTATCAAAGGGACTGTGGGTTAGGTCTACACTCATCTAAGCTAGTAGAGACCTGAGTTCTATTTCCATCCACGGTTAGCATCAGTGGCAAGTGGTTCCTGAACCTGCCTGTGGCCAACTCTAGGTTGACTTAAATTAGTACCTGGTGAAGTGTGTAAACATTTGCAATGGGGGAGGCAGAGGCAGCCATGAGTGATGTTGGCCAAAAAGCATGCCATCATGTATTGCGTCGACCTTAATAAGTGCTTACTAAAAGCACTTGCCCCAGTAGTCCATATGGCTATATGGGGAGTATAATGTGCATGTGTGTGTATATATATACCTGCATTATGGTGGCAGCCAACTCGCTCCATGGTAGCTTGAGTGTTACAACGCAGGACCGCTAGAGACTGTTTCCGGCTTGGGGAGGCCTTCACGCACGCAGCAGTGGACAGATCGTGGCTGATTATGACGACGTTGTGGGGTGGTACCGTAGCAGTGACGGAGGCATTTAAAAACGAGCCGCTCGCCGTGCCAACAGAAGGGCTCGCTCGTGCCGTCGGGGGCCCCGTACTCGCGTCCCTCTCTCGGGAGCGTGGGGGCGTCGCTCAAGGCCCTGGATGCCCCTTTCGGGGACCCGGCGGGGCACGGAGACGGGGACAGCGTTGCGTCGTGGGCCCCGACGTCGTCCGACATGGACGAGCCGCAGCCGCCGCTGACCCCCGACGTCGACTACTACTCTGGCTTCCCCATTAGCGACTCGGAGCAGAGGTTCGCTTCCCGATACTTCTTGATGTTTTCCTTCACCCTTTCCAATTCTGCAAATTGCAGGGTGGGTGTCCCTTTCCCCGCCGTTAGATTTATTTTGAGAGGCGTAGCGCCGCTGTTTTTAGAGGCATTGTACTGTACTCACTGCAGAGAACTATAGCGACACGACCGCACTCTACGTTAGTTGGCGCCAAACTTTTACTGACTTACGATTCCGTTGAGAATCGATTCTGTTCCGATGATTAAACATAGGTAATAGGTTTTTTACCCTTTTACCTGGCAACAAAACTGACACCTTTATACAAGGGATCATGTTTGCATTAACCACAACACTTGCGGTCAAAATGCAAACAAAAAGACAACTTAATTTTTGGAGCTTTTGTGACTGCAGGAATTATTTTTTGGTTTTTTCAGTAAAGTCAAGTATAAAGATTAAAAAAAATTTAATTATTTAATTTATTATTTTATCTTTATACGTGACTTTACCGAAAAAAACAAAGAATAAAAAGACAACTCTGATAATGTATGCATTGTCCTTGAAATTGATTGGTCCACTCACGAGGCAGCTTTTCTTAGAGCCTAGTCTCACATGGTGTTGGACCAAATGACGCCAAAAGGCGCACAACTCAAAGACATCGCCACCATCAGAGTATTGAGAGCTCGGGGTAAGCATTACATTATAAGGGTAAACAACCTATTACTAGATCTTGCTACTGGCAAAGGAGGTCTCGTAATGTTCATCATAGGTAATTGAACCAAATCGAAAGAAGAACCGCTGACGTACGTCATTGCGAAATGGTTGATTTGTCTGCATATTTTTCTGCGCATTTCATCCATATTTCATCCCCATTACGCTACCGGTGTCATGTCACGAGATGAAGAGACCATTGCTGTTGCTCGCAGAGCTGTGCGCGCGGCCCTCTGTGTTGGAAGAACATTAAGTGACCGCCGGTCCACGCGATAGGAGGGCAGCACTTTACAACCGAAGCTGTCCTGGACAGTAATGTCCTTTGCATGGCAGGCAAACTGATATTGTTTCAGTCTCAGAGCTGGAATTTTGCCAAATTCAATGCATTAATCAGATTTAACTTGATGGGTTTTTTTTTGTTGTTGTGTGGAATCACGGTTGAATTACGAGTGAAATATGGCTTTGAGGATTACATTGTGAGGCTCAAATTAAACAGTGCAGCTTGCCTGCCAAGTGCTTAAAGCCATGCTGATGTTCTTAGAGACCCGTTAAACGTTGGCTTGCAAGACTGCGAGAAATCAAGTTGCATGTCACGTGGCTCTGCAGCTCAGAACGTTGTTCAACATCTTTTTGAGATTAGTTTTTATTTTATATATGGTTGTAACAATCGCTCAGAATGTCTGTGCAGGTCGTTGTGACCTCGCCTGCCCCGAGGCTTACGTGATCAGGTTTATTTTGTCATGCAAAAATCTCTCACGATTATGGCTGGAGAAAGATAGAGGTGGCTCGGCGGGCAACACGAACACATTATTATTCATTAAATGTACATTTGATGCACAATTCATACATTTTTTTAATGCATAAACATCCAGCACGCAGCTTATCTGGCTCACTGGCTGTCGCCACCATCATCATCATCCCCCTCCTGGGGTTGATGCCTCATTCCGAAATCTGCATCAGATGTCCCACGGACAAACTGGGCCCCGTTGTAAGACCAAGGAATCACTACCACTCGCCAACGCCTACAGTTATGAACCCCGCGCCTTTGCTCATTGAAACGAATGGGTTGATTGTTTTTGTTAATTGTGTTTGTGCAGCACTGCCACCGCAGCAGTAGAATCACCAAAGAATGTGTTTAACCAAGTACAGAATGTTCAACTAAACCTGCAGTTGGCGAGGTTGACAAAATTAGTACGACTCTGCGGAAAGTCAACTTTTTGTCATCCTATGGTGAGAGTGACCCCGCCTAAGCGATGTGGAATGTCCACCACTAACCCAGGACTGCCAGTGTAGATGTGGGCCTCGTCAATGTTCATTTTAGCTTCAAATGCTCTTGGTGTGTAAGTAAGCTTGCACACCTGTGGAGCTTAACTGTTCTTGCCACAAATGTTTTCATTGAAACCAGAGTGGCTATCAGGATGTCTTAGGAGCATTACATTGTGCTCCACAGTGCAATGACGTCAAGACTATCTGCTGTGAGTACCTGGTATGTGAGTAGCTGGTTTCTGAGTACTTGGTGCAGTGTGTATACAACTACTGAACTGGAGTGACAGAGGTGGCCGGCCGTGGTACCGGCCACAACAACACCTCCTCGGCAACGCCCTGTCTGCTTTAATGGGTGCTCACTAACAGCACTGACCCCAAATATGTATATGGCAATATGGGAGACCTTTGTCTTATGTGTGCGAGGGAGTTCCGAACAGTGGCTTAGTGGATCGTGCGTGGTGCTGCGATCCCAGCGATCTTGATTCGATTCCTGACCACACGCGACGTCAGTGATGCCTGAACCTGCACTGAGCCTCTTATGGGTTTCTGTGGTGTGATCATGCACGTTGACACTGGGAAGACAAAGACGGCCAGGGCCCACCGTCTCACCGTGCTCATTGACAGCGCGTGCTCCGTTGGTCTCAGCAGCTGAAGGGGGATGTTTGTCTTGGTTCCGTGTGTGTGTGCAGGTCATACGAAGGTGTTCTCTACAAGCGAGGTGCCCTTCTGAAGGGCTGGAAGGCGCGCTGGTTTGTGCTGGACAAAACGAAACACCAGGTACACAATGGGTGGGAGGGTGAGTGGGGCGTGAGCGTGAGTGTGGGGCGTGAAGGTTGAGCGGTATGTGAGGGTGAGTGGTTTGCGAGCTAGAGTTGTACGTTAAGGTTGGTGGGTATGTGAAGGTGAGTGAGGCTTGAGGGTGAGTGGTGTGTGAGGATGAATGAGGGTGGGTGGGTTGGGAGGGTGAGTGAGGGTGGGTGGGATGGGATGGGAGGGTGAGTGAGGGTGGGTGGGATGGGAGGGTGGGCGATAAGTGAGGGTGAGTGGGGCGGAAGGGTGAGTGGGATGGGAGTATGAGTGAGTGGTGTGTGAGGGTGAGCGAAGGTAATTGGGATGGGAGGGTGAGGAGGAGGCGGATGGTGTTGAGCCTGTGCTGATGAATGTGTGTTTGTTGTCAGCACAGCGGCTGGTTTAGTCATCTGTGGGCTTACTTCACGATACCATCTGAATATCCCCTGTTCGAGAAAAGGTTTTACTTTCAAAATTCTCACTTCACTGCTTAAGCTGTCTAGGTGGAAGAATTGTGCGTATTTCAAATGCATTCATCACCTGTGAATCTGTTTGCAGCGAACCTACGCAGTTATGTCTGGTTTTCCTCTTTCGACATTTTATTTCCATGAAGGCATTCGGCACTGTACATTTGCGTCTTCTGCCTACACGCGGCAATAAGCAGTCCACGCGGCTCCATGTACAGGCATGTGGGATGCAGATACTGTGCAGGACCCTTATCTTCAAAAGCTATTTTATCTTCAAAGAGCTTATTCACATTCACAGTCCTATTGATTACAACATGTGCTAATCAGTCACGTTTGGTCAGCTGCGGAATAGGATGATGAAAAACTGATTACGCTCCAGTCAGACAATCAACAAATATTAACTTTTTTGGAATGCTTTATAGATCGTAAGCAACCATTCTCCCCCCCCCCGCCTTCGCCCCAAATAACACTGTTTAAGACTCTTTCTCTCCTCTTTCCCTGAAAACCTCAAGAACAATTAATATTAATTTCAGATCACCTTTATGCTGCACAGTATTTGCAAGGAGGAACCACACACAAGAATGGAAGGCAGCCAGGCAGTGAGCTGATGCCACGGTGGTGAGATGTTAACTACCCCACCTGGTATACAGGAGCTTGTGGGTTCCATCATGACCCTGAAGCCTGCTGTATATTTAGAGTTTGCGGTGTCTTTCTCCTCGTGATTGCGTGGATTTTTCTTCGGGTCCTCCGGTTTTCCCCTCCACATTTACAATCAATATGCTTCGAGTATTTGGCTGCTATAAATTTCCACGAGATGTGAAGCCACTTTGTTGAGCTATCATATGTGATAGCCAGGTTGCTTCTGAAAAAGAGCTATGTACCTGGTAAAAAAAAGTTTTTTTGATCTGCAGTTCCCTTTAAAATATCATATTATGATGATATTTAAACCATACTCTTTGGTTCTTTCGGTAAAGTCACGTAGGTATAAAATAAAATAAATCACGACGTTTCGGGCGCAACACAAGCGTCCATCATCAGGTGAGAAGGCATGGTCTGCTGCTGAGGCAGACTGTTTTTAAAGATTCTAAATGGGTGTAGCTCAAGGGTTATAAAGAAGTGGCCGGGGCTAATGATGTTAATGTGAGAAATTAGCATGTAATTGTAAGATAGTAGAGCGGCCTCCTAGACGAGGGCACGGAAGTGGCTATGGAATCAAAGAGTATGGATTCCTGCAGTCACGAAAGCTTCAAATCAAGATATTTAAACCAGTTAATGATTGTTGACTATTTGTTGCAAAAAGGCCATTTGGTCAAAAAACTGAGATTTTTGTTTTATTCCTCTTTGTTTTTAAATACCTGGTGTTATTTTCTATTCGCCTGGTGTTTCACGTATAATTGCACCAAAGCAGAAACTGAACAGCTTATTCGTATTTCATTTGCAGATCAAATTGGCCTCAATGAGCACCTAGTACAGTGTGTAAACATCGCCACGAGGGAGACAAAAGTGGATGGGCATGATACTGACCACCCACCCCCTCGTGTGCCGCCACCGGCCTTCGTGGGTGCTCGCTAACAGCACTTGGCAGTCTCGCATGGCCGGACGGCGGATGTGTACGCGCGTGTATTTGCGCGCACGTGTGCCTGTGTCCTTGTGCGTGACTGCGTGCGTGACGACCGTGCATGCGCTCGTGTCTGCCCGCACAGCTGCGCTACTACGACACGGCGGACGACCAGCACTGTAGGGGCGAGATCGACCTGGGGGACGTGGAGTCCGTGACTCCGGCCACTGCCACCCTGGGAGCCCCCAAGAACATGGAGGACAAGGCCTTCTTCGACGTACGTCGGCGCCGCCGCATCGCTCGATTCACCACGGGTGTCCTTAAAACGAGGGAACTGAGCTGGAGCCGGGCTCTAATTATTTCTGGGGTGTCGCTGTGGCGAGATGTTTACATCCTCTCCTGGCATGCAGGAGGTCGTGGGTTCGATCCCGACCCTATAACGCCTGCTGTATATTTGGGGGTTTGCATGTTCTCCCCTCGGTCGTGTTAATAGCAGTTTGACAATTGCCAAACTACATTTTGTAGCTATATTTAACTAAAAAACGGGAGTTAAGAACATTCATTCATATATAGCATTGAAAAAATAACATATCCAATTCATAATTATCCCCACAAACTGAAAACATTGAATGTAAGCCTAGTCATATTTGAAGTAAATACAAATGACATTCATGGATTAAATAAATGTAGATTCAAGGGAGGAGTACGTGTTAGGGGCGATACGGTGGCAAGATGTTAACTCCCTCGCCTGATATACAGGAGGCCGCGGGTTTGATTCTGACCCCTGACACCTGTATATTTGGAGTTTGCATGTCTCCCTGTGGTAGCGTAGATCTTTCTCCGGGTACTCCGGTTTTTCCCTCCACGTTAATAAACATGCATTTAGAGTATTTGGCTGCTTTAACTTTCCACATGATAAGCCACTTTCAGTTGAGCTATCATTTGTGGCCAGGCCGCTTCTGATAAAGAGCTACATAGCTCAGTGGGCCTCACCTGGTAAAATGAAAATAGTTTAGTTTAAAATGTAAAATGTATTTTTTATATGCGTTACGCGCACCAAACCACAGGCAGGATTCATAGCGCTGCGCAGTACAGTATAACAAAACAACTTTCAATAATAGTCAATAATTATACTTCTGGCAGTCTTCACATGGCGGCGTCTTGGCGGCGAACCTGATAGCGGTCACAAAATAAAACTTGGCGCTCTTGTCGACACACAGGTGCGCACGACGAAGCGCGTGTACAACTTCTGCGCCCAGGATGCCGCGTCGGCGCAGCAGTGGAGCGACCACATCCAGGGCTGCCTCTCGGACGCGTGACCTTCCCCCCACCCACCTCACCAAGCCGAGCTCCTCCCTCGCGTCCCTAGCGAGGAACCCCCGTGGTAATTAACGAGCCGGTGAAACCGCTCTCCGTGCTGCAGGCCCAGCGTGGCCCAGAGCGCGAGAGGACGGGCAGTCGGTGTCACGGTGACTTCTGACTTTTAAGAACGCTTACATTTATTTTCACACTCTGCCTCCCCGTGTCCACTGCCGTCCGTCCTTCGCCTGTGAATGAGACGGGCGGGTGACACGAGTGCAGAAATGATCGTCAGGCTGATGTTCGTTTTGCGAATGGGCACGGGAAGCGACCCGTTCGCTGGCGCTTTTCAGGTGTAACAAAAATGTGACACAATTTGCACGTGTTCACGCTAGCCTCAATCCCACACAACTGGATCAAAAGCCACGATCAGCCTCAAGCTTCCCTCCACCGACATCCGCGTAAGACAACGCCAGGTTGAGTCGGCGAATCGGTGGGCAGGAAACTAAAAGACGAGTGTCATTTTATTTTTCCAACACGCGTTTGATTTTTCCTAGAAACGATGATAAAAAAAAACTGCTGTTTTCGCAGGCATAACAATTTTTTTTTTCGCTCGTGTTGAAAACTTTGAATGTTTTGTTGAAAATGCATGTAAGATGTAGGTGCTAGATGGTGCACGAATACCCCCACACATTAGCCGACAGTGCAGATTAGGCTTTTTTTACCGCAATTGCTATTAATCTATAAGGCACACATTTAAATATGACGGTTGCATCGTTCCTGATGTTTTTCTCCCGAGGCCAAATTTTCAAGTTTCACAAAGACATATCGGCTGTCCTTAAATTCAGTGCAGTTTACCTTTTAACGAGGACAAATTAAACTTTAACTTAATGAGAAGTATCTTTTTAGCATACATTTACTACAATTGTGTAGCATTTGAAAAAGTGGTGGGTTCTTTTAGACACACGTACTTATTACTGAAGTTTGCATTAAACTGACTTTGCACTGATTCTTACTTTTGGATGTTTATTTTAGGTGAGATTGATGAAGTTACAGTGCATTGTACATTTCAGCTTAGCAGCCTCTGCATCTTGTGTGTAGATTTTATCGTGTATATATTACGTGAAATGTACACGTCAAGCGGGTGGCCGTGTGTACGTTTGCGAACCGGGAATTCAAAGCGTAGCACATTCGCACAAGACTTGCGGTTCACGATCTTACATTAGGATTTTTTTTGGGTGTTCATATTCCCCCCTCTCAGTACAGTTTTGGGTACTTATACGTTCGCAGTTCTAACCTAGTGGGAGAAATTCCACATTCTCGTTCCACGACTCGGTATTTTGGTATTCGGTTTAGTTGAACGTTAACTCACAAACTTGGTATTGTGAGTCACACACACAGTCCGCCGCCACCCCACGGTCGAGGTGTATCATTGCCGACTGCGTGCGGTGGTAAGTTACGAAAGAGTGCTATTATGGTAGTTCGAAGTAGTAGCAACGTTGTTCACAAATGTCAACATTTCAATTTATTGGACCACATTGCGAAAAGCTACATTTGTAAGTTTGTACGCATGTGGAACAATACGTTGTTCACAAATGTCAACATTTCAATTTATTGGACCACATTGCGAAAAGCTACATTTGTAAGTTTGTACGCATGTGAAACAGTACAGTACATTGGTGTCAAAATAAGATGTTGCCCTCCCAAAAAAAAGTCCACAATTATTTATAAATAAAAAGTTTAAATAGTCTCGGATATATATGGTGAGTCATATGTTACTTCCCAAACTTGGCTCTGGTTTAAATGTTTCTATTCTGGACAAGCAATTTATGTCTCATGCCATATATAACTTTTTTATTTGTAGTAGATTATCAAACACCAAATTTCAATGCGCTTCTGTTGTGTTATTCATTTACAACAAAGCTGTACTGGAATCGGGTTTAAGGGAGGGATTTTTTTTTACTTGATGCTCATCGATTTCAGTTCTCAGGCATAACTGCAGTCCAGCTTTCATATGAAACATGGATGATACCACCCATACTCGCTCATGAGCAGCAGTTGGCAGGCTCAGTGATGTGGCTGGGTGTATAAATTGTCAAATAAAATCGTGTTAGAACAATTATCCAGCATTGCAGAGAACCTGGGTTCAAGTCCGAGTTTCAGCCATATGCGATTAAATCAGGTACCCTTGTGCAGCAGTGAGGCGGCAGCCTCAGACCAGTCAACAATTACTGCAGTGGAAACATCTTTGAATCGTTTTTTTTCTCACTTAATTTGGTTTAAAAAAATCCTGTTTGGAGAATCAACAAATGAATCTGAAGTTTGATTGCCATGAAAATGATCAGCTACAAATAGAAGGGGGCATGAAAAAGTGTGCCCCGAGTGTGTGAGTGAGAGGTCACTTTGAAGGGATCCCAGAAGTGCTTCAGTGGTATCACTTTCCACAGGCCTGCTCACAATTGTTTTACTTATTTCAGCATTTAAACTGAGGTCGGATTGCCATACCATCAGCACTCTTTGCAGGGCATGTTAAGGGATGCGGCACCTAGTGCGGATAAGAAGTTTCGTGAAGTGGCTCCAAAAAAAGTCCCCGTAAAATCATCTTCTGGGGCCATTATCTGGTAGTCACTAACGTTACACCGCTCGCTCGCTCGTCCGTGAGAGTCCTGAAAAAGGAATTTTCTTCATCTCGCCCCATGAGCCAAGAGCATAATTGAAATAACATTGCAGATGAATAGAATTTATTTTATATAAACAATTGACAGGGCCACAATAAATACACACGTTTCAAGTACCCACATTTTTGCAAAGCGCAGCAGTAGCTTTTACGCTTGTGCACCCCAAGTATGAATTCTGACTGGGCTTTTTGTAAGCTACTTATAATAAGTAAAAGAAAGACAGCGCAATTGACACAGGGTTTGGGCGATCGCCCATTGCAGACATGTGATGAAATGCCTCGGTCTCTCGTGGACAGCGACTGGGCACGCTTTGCGTTCTTGTGTAACGGTGGTTGTGTTTGAGCAACTTTGGTGGGAGCCCGTTGGTTGTTTAGATCACAATGGAAGCCGTTGTATTTTCTCAGTTGTATTTAAACGTTTGCATGCTCGTTTTATGGCTGACGTGTTTTTTAAATGTAACGGTAAATTAGCTAAATAATCGCAGTGCATTTTAATTAAATAAAGATAGCCATTGCACAAGTGAACATTTCAAATGTGCATTTAAAAACTATAGTAAGAATAGCATTTAAATGATTTAGTATTAAAATTAAATTATTACATTTGTTTTTACCTTCAAGCAATGTGTTGCTCAACCGGATCAGTGATAACGGTAATAACAGTACAACAGCTTGACTGCGGAGTTTTTTTTCTTCGCGATTGTGCTATCTAAGCTCTCCGATGGCATTTTCGGCTTGTACCGTGTGTTATTCGGCACGATATCGGACGTTCCTGACGAAGCTCCCAGCACGCGGAACGAAACGTCGGGACATCTTGCCGAACATAACTCACGTGCGGGTGCACGACCCAATAAACATGTCAGAGAGAGTAAACGCAGCTTTGGGAAAACGACGCCCCAAATAGATTACCCCGCGTAAAAATTACATAAACCACGCATCGTCTTTTCTAACGAGCCCTTAAACTGCACACAGCGGGGAGACCATATTTAGCCGATTCGGAGTGATTGTGACATAGCAGCATTGTGTGCCTTTTATCAGTTCACCAGACCAAAGCGGGGCTTTGTTTATAGAGACTCTAGACTCTGTGAACGCACTTTCACACAAGGGGTGACTCTTATTCTTGAAATGGTGGCCTGCGTGTTTCTGTTCGAATGGAAGAGCTATCGTCGCAGCACTCATTTCTGCTGTTGGTCCCCAGTCGGCAGTGGGAATTCCACATTTCAATGCAAGGGGCGGGCCCGTTTATCCATGGGATTACCACAATTGACTGACTGCCCACAAAGTCGTCCTCATATTATCGTCCCTGGAAGGATCATGTGTTCAGCTGATTCCGCGTCAGGTTTGAACTTGCAAAATTCCGATGGTGAGTTTAGCGCTCGGACCACAGCAAACACCCGGCCATTTATAATCATGGCTTCTATCTCACCAGGAACAACACCATGCTGGGTCTGGGTCTCCAGTCTGTATATGTTTCGCATGTGAGAGGAAACCAAAGTTCCCAGAGAAAAATAATCCAAATAGATAGGTCAGAAACACACTTTGTGTCCAGCCCACAGTTTGCACCGCTGGTAGAAGAAAAGCACTGCCTTGTGTGAAACAGCATTTGAATACCGTGCATCTTGACGTAAAATACTCAGCTCGGCATAGCAATGCCAACTTGTATTGAGACGAATGCACAAGTGCTTGTACCATGATTAACACCTGTGATCGTTTAATATGCTCGAGTTGTACCCGCGTGTTGTTCGACGCGATGTCTGACGTTTCACTCCACTTGCCGAGAACTGCCGAATCAGTTCTAGGTGTTGGGATCTTCTTATTCAGCTCCTGATTAAGCTCCCAGCACTTGGGGGCAAAACGTTTGACATTGTTCCGAACGACACGCGGTAACAACCACACAGATCGGAAATCTTCATTCACTCCATCAGCTGTAAATATGTATCTGCTTAGGATTCTGGGTATTGGAGCATTTGCGGCTATCACTCGTGAACATTGATAAAGAAGGGAGAGGTATTCTTCATTCTTTGATAGACAAAAGAAGGCCGGTTTTTATTGTTGGTGGACGAATTGGAGGTGTATCGATATCACTTTATGCATATGAAGGTTTGTCGCTGTGATTAACGTGATGGATATTGTGAAGGTATATTTAACGTAGTTGCTGTATGTTCATCTCATTTTGAAAAATTTACTTTTTTTGTTGTTTTACAATTTTTGGGGTTTAAATATATTTAGACAGCCATTGTTTACAAATTTAAAATGTGTGCTTATTTATTTTGTATTTCAGTCATGTTTTTTTTTTATTGTTCGTGGAGCAGAGAAAGTCATTAAACACAAAACTGTTACAATTTCAGAAACTGTATTCCTGATCAAATGTTATAACCATGATAGACACAGCCATGTGAGATAACGATGGAAAACATCTCATTACTTGTCGCTGTCTAAAATCCTTACTGAGAGCCTCGATAATTTTTTTTTCCCTCTCTGAAATTATTGGCCAATGTCCTCATGATTATAATTCCACGGTGTTGGGTGGAAGCCCAGAGGTCTTGAGATAGCCACACTTACGAGGAGGGAGCAAACACTCGGCAAAGCCACGCAGTTCGAATAGAAAACCTATTTGCTGTACCCCTTCCTTGTTCCCAGCAGATGGGTGTATTGTGCACAAGATCCTAACATGGTCCACCAAAAACCCACTTTTAGATCACTTGAATTATAGAATTGTGCTATCACACCTGATCGGTTTCAGTAACCACGATGTCTCTGAAGGAGCTATTTCACTATTGGTAGTATTACGAGTAAATACAAATAGAGTTTTGTATCGCATTTACACGAGTGTAGTCTGTATTCTGTTTGTCCACGTTACACCGAGTTGTTCAACCACACGCGTTAATGTCCTCTTTTGTCACATTTTTATTAAAGTAAGAATTAACGGCTCTGATTTTTTTAAATGTTTTTTTTTTAATGGCGTGCTGTACAGTACAACGCTGCTTGATGGAACGCAAATATTAACACCGCTGTTCAGAACCCTGCTCGTCTGAACACTGCTAATTTTCACAACGCTACTCCGGACAATAATTGTCCGACCCTGTGCTCTGAACAATGCCGATCTCGTAACACCAACGTTCTGAACGATGGCTCATCTGAACAACTTTAATCGGAACAACTTTCACCGGAACAACTGTGAAGGTCATATAGCTCTCCAATGTGCTTTTGGGTTCCCTACGTTGTTTGTTCGCCATGATGTCCCAACATTTCACTCCACGTGCTGGGATCTTGCAAAACTGAATATTTAGTGAATATTCAGTCTCTGTAAAAAATATTAAATAAATATTCCATTCCTGAAGAAGGTCCCAGCATGTGGAACGAAACGTCGGGCATCAGGTCAACAAACAACACACGGAACATCCCGGAAACCCTTGGGGAAGCTTTTCTGAACACCAGTAATCTGAAGAGTAATATTGTGAATGATGCTCGTGATAGCACTGCTAATAAGCTCAACTCTATTCTGAACAACGTTAATCTAAATCCTATCAATCTGAACAATGCTTACCTAAATACGGTTAATCTGAATTGCACAAAGCTTGCCCCTGTAAATTCTACGGGCATGCCGCTGGGTTAGGTGCATGGTATGTGTGCAATTTTGTCGAAGTATTTTGCAGTGGAGGGTAACTTCTCACCACAAGAAAAGCCTAGGCCGGGAAGTGTTCAGTGCCAACTTGCCAAATTGATGGCGTTGTACTGCACAACGTCAACCAAATACATTATGAAAGTCAAAATGTCAACTTGCGCATGTACGTGTGAAATGAGTCGATTCTGTTTAAATGCATGTGCTGTTATTGTCTCTGTAATCCAACATCATCTGTCAGTCTGGCCAAATGTATTTGGAATCAGTTTCCAAATAAGATGGCAGGTGGCTTTGTCCCGGTTTGCAAAAATACATACTGTATATGAAACGAACAAAAGCATAACTTTACTTGTGCTATTGGTTGAACACTCTGTTACATTTACCGTGAATATTTACTGTCAATTTCGAGGTTATTAATACATCCGTAGAATATGTTTTGTCATTGTGATATATTCTCGCCCTTATAAAATAGTTTGTCTTGATGATTTCACACCGTGTTATAAATAATGTCCGTGGATGTATCTGTATCGTGTCTGATGCTGTGGTTAGAATGCTCGCCTTGCGAGTTTATGCTGGTCGGTGGTTGACTCAACCCCATCATTCCTCTGGATTTAATACAAGTAAGTATCGCTTAGTGGGAAGTCAGGAATGGCTGTCTTATAGACATTGAGCCCCCACCATGCTAATGTGGAATTTCCACTGCTGGCCTAGGGCCATTACTGGTGTTGAATGCCACCCCCATTGCTTGTTTGAGCATGGACAAGCTTGCTTTTTTTGGTTCTGTGAATTCTTAAAATCCCCTGGTTTCCTGGCCAAAACTGGAAGTCTTTATTCACGGCAAGTGTCACTTCCCAGAATAATCTTGAGTTGGCTAAATTTGAAAACATGCAATGCATTTTGTAATGGTCGCAGGTCAAATGACATCTTTGGATAGCGGTGCTTTGAAGCATTGGCACGGTCACAAGGTGGCAAGCCGCCAACTGAAACCTTGGCCAGTGTTTACAAAGTCGCTTATTGAATTTCCAATTATAAGTAGGAGAAGTAGCATATGTGAGAAGAAAAAAACCCAAATCCCCATAGTTACAGCCAACGACCTAAATTCTTAGATCTCCAATGCGTTTTTGGGTTGTTTCCGCATGTTGCTGGGCACGATGTCCGATGATTTTATCCACGTGCTGGCAACTTCTTTAGGAACTGAAGCTCCCTGACACCGTGGAGTCAAACGCATCGCGAAACACATCAGAGTTATGCAGCACAACTGCGACAACCTACTTGGTAGTACAATTCATATTTCTTCTAAATATATATACATCAGGTGTAAATATATTGTCCTGGTCTTGATAAAGATTGGGTTCTTTTAGATATGTTTTTATCCATTTAATTGCTTTTCTATCTGGTTTGTTTTGCTCAAACTGCACTTTGTGGAGCAAAAATCACATTAGAATCTCAGTGACTGGCAGTGTTGTTGATTGTGCCCTGTAGTAGCTAAGAGATCGAAAGCATGTTTGCCGTTACCGGTGTCGCGGAGAGACCACGTCACATGTTTCATTTACCCTTTGCTATTTTTGTCCAGTTTAAAATTATTTTTACTGTAATGTTTACATGTTTGTAATGGTTGCTATGGAATGCATTTTTTCGAGACTTGTGAAGGTTCAAACGAGTTCAAACGAGTTCCGTACGTGAAGCAGCTTTGTATTAACAGGTGTACAAAATAAAATGGTATCGTTGGTATTGTATTATGAAGCCTTTTTGTTTTTGGATACACACCCTGTGTGGGGATTTACCATTGTATTTTATTTTTTTACATTTGGCATGTACAGGTGTAGTGGTTCGCACGAGGGAGACAGAGACTTCTTGGAGGCAACACGTTGATGTACAATAAGCCCTAAAACCACGAATGGAAATAACTGCCCCTTCACCAGCTCCCCTATGGAGGTGTCTCCTCCGGGCTGGCTAACCCTCGCTCACACGGGCTGACTATCTCGGACCGGACCCTGGCTCGGGTCCGGGTCCTGTAGTCGGGCAGGTCTTCTCCGGGTGACGGCTTCTGTCTTCAGTCTTGCAACAGCTGCCGGACCCGTTCAGCGGTCCGGCTTAGATTGCCAGTCCCGGGGCTTCCTCTGCCCCTGGCCACGCCTCCCTTCTCGAGCCTTCGAGAGGGACCTGGTCCCGTGGTCCGGCCAGCCCCCTCCTTGGGGCCCCTTGACCGTTACCTCCGGTCACCAGGCCTTCGGCAGAGGTCGCAAACGGGTTTTGATTACTTACCCGTACCCAGCCACACCATGGGTCGCAAATGGGTACCCGTACCCTACCCGTACCCTACCCGAAATGAATGACAAACGGTTACTCACCAGTGACTCACGGCCTACCCGTACCCGTACCTGGCCGCACCAGGGTCGCAAACGGGTACCCGTACCCGTACCCGGCCGCACCAGGGTCGCAAACGGGTACCCGTACCCGGCCGTACCCTACCCGTACCCGGCCGTACCCGGCCGGGTACGGGTAGGGTACGGGTATCGGGTACCTGATTGCGACCTCTGGGATGAAGCCATGTTGCAGGCGCGGGTGGGTTGATTCTAGGAACTTGAATTGTGAGAAGAGACACAAGACGTTGGGAAATGAGTGACAAACAGTTACTCACCAGTGACTCACGGCCTACCCGTACCCGTACCCGGCCGCACCAGGGTCGCAAACGGGTACCCGTACCCGGCCGGGTACGGGTAGCCAGGTATCGGGTAGGGTACGGGTATCGGGTACCCGGTTGCGACCTCTGGCCTCCGGGTTCACCTGGAATGCCATGGCTCCAGGTGAACCCCTGAGTCCTCCCTGGCGCTCTCACCCCCCAAACCGCCAGAGGCTGGCACTGCATGTGGCTGGTGTGAGCGGCGCGCATCGGGCCTCACACAGGCCGGCTTATGCTTCATGCAGTGGCCTCCACCGATGCCACTACACATGTCCAGCCTTCTTTGAATCCCCTACTGGATGAGGACTTCCCTACTCTCTGTGTGGGTCATGGGTGTTACGTGACCACACTGATTATTGTGGACTGGTGAAGGTGGGGAGTATAGACGTGGATGTATAACAGTATACTTCAACATACTCTTTGGTTCTTTTGGTAAAGTCATGTAGGTGAAAACATAATAGATCACGACGTTATACTACAACAATAGATGTTGCTACCCTGCTGTCCGCTAACACGCACTTCCACAGAGATCCTGATACTTGATAATCTCTGTTGATGGCCCTGAGCCAGTGGTAGAAAATACACATTTCCAAGCCAAGGGTCAGCATCTTCACAGAATAGGCATCCATTATCTTTGGTTCTTTCGGTAAAGTCACGTAGGTAGAAAAATAAAAGATCACGACGTTTCGATCGCAACACAAGCAATCGTCATCAGGTGGGACAACCACAGCAAGAAAACACTGCTGTTGTCCCACCTGATGACGATTGCTTGTGTTGTGTTATTTTATTTTTCTACCTACGTGGCCTTAACCGAACGAACCAAAGAGTATGGATTCCTGCAGTCACGAAAGCTTCAAATCAAGATCGAATAGGCATCATTGACACAACTCGATGTGGCCTTAACGTTCGTCGAGCCACATCGTAATTACAGCGGCAATTGAAGTCGCTGATCAAACAAAGGGAACAAGATCTACAGCCGGATTGTGTGGATCTTGTACATATGCTGTTCATACTCTTAGGTTTTTTCGATAAAGTCACGTAGGTAAAAAATAAAATCACGACGTTTCGGAGGCAACACAAGTCTCCGTCATCAGGTGGGACCGTCACAGCTAGATTTAAGGCCAGCGTCTCGAGAAGCTGTGACTTCTTGTCTCGTTGTCTGTTAAAAACTCTAACAGATAGGTGAAATTCCTGGCCTTAAATCTAGCTGTGACGGTCCCACCTGATGACGGAGACTTGTGTTGCTTCCGAAACGTCGTGATTTTATTTTTTACCTACGTGACTTTACCGAAAAAAACCTAAGAGTATGAATCCTTGCAGTCACGAAAGCTTCAAATCTAGAAACATATGCTGTTCACCAGATTGTGGTGATCTTGTACATATGCTGTGCACCAGCTTGCAAGATCTGTTAGAAGGAAAGAAGTGACGGTGTGCGGTGACCTCGACGTAATTGATCGCAATGAACTCTTGCTCACTATAGAGCAGTTGGTTCTCAACCGGGGGGTAGGTGGCAATGTCCCAGGAGGGTACGTGAGCTGATTTATAAACGCAGTGAGAGTCATTTGTCGCACAGTCACGTATGAATATGTCGATATAAAATAACTACGATAACATTTAAATCCAGACTGTAACCTCGGACGGTATAAAAGATCCTTTCTAAACGCATTGATCGTAAACAATGCGGGTTTCCAAGAGGAACCATCGAGCGAGCATAAATGACGTCGTGCAGAGCGACCGTTGAATTTGTTGTTTTATTCGCTTGCAGCTACGAGCTAGATAGGATACCTCGCAAAATTGACATTTGATTAAATATTGACGTTCATTATTCATACATTTATTTCTCAGAACCATGTTGGGTCAGGCAAGGGGCTACTCGCTTTAAACAAAATTCCAACAAGGGGTGGTACAGGAGCCAACAAATGTTGTAGAGAACCTCCAATTAACACGGGTGGCTGCGTACGGTGCGAAAGAAGTCCAACATACAAACAACTACAACAGCCATTCGCCACCAAGTGGCGGTAACGTCACCACGGCGCCTGTGCCAGGCCAGGTGCACTTCGAGGCCACGTGAAGTGTCGAAGGCTCGCAGACACGAGGTCAAGGGGCAGACCCAGCAGGTGCTGTGGGTTGGCTGACTGAGATGACCGGCAGATGCGCCACCTGTGCCCCCCCCCCCCACCCCCGTGCCAATTTGCTGCATTTTATCTGCCCTGCTCTCCGCTCCGCTGTGTATACAGACGTGCATTGCGGTGTTAGCCAGGCAACCATCGCTCAGCTTGAATGGCCCAACTTACCCCAACCAATCCACCCCGGCATTTCATTGTTTCAAAATGCTTGGGGGATGGAAACACTTTGGCAACAAGCCCATGAGCTTGGAGAGGCAGGGGGTAAGTAAATATTGGCGCAGCAGCACTGTAAACTCGGATAAAACTGCTCAGTGGGACTTACACCGCCTGCTAAATCGCCTCCACCGCCACAACAATAACATGCTCCTGCACAGGGAAGCGCATGTTTTAAGTAAACTCTGGGGTTATCTATCACATTACCGGCTCGAACTGCGCCATAGTTCAGCCGCAAATATGTTCCATTTGCATGTGAAAATGCCCTCTCATCGTGATAGGTTTTTTTACCCTTTCAACTGGTATGAGAGGGCATTTACACTGAGACCTCCTTTACCAGTGGCAAAATATAGTGATAGGTTTTTTACCCTTTCAACTGGTACAAAAACTGACACCTTTATACAAAAACTGACACCTTTATATAAAGGTGTCAGTTTTTGTACCAGTTGAAAGGGTAAAAAACCTATCACTATAATTGGCCACTGGTAAAGGAGGTCTCATAGTGTAAATGCCCTCTCATCGTTATGCAGATCCCACAAGTTCCAACAAAAAAAAACTGCACGAGTGGCCATCGACTCAACTTGAGAAAAAGTGGGCGACAATCAAAACAGGTAGCAGGGAAACAGAGACACAACTGTCGATTGCTTGTCATTCGTCAGGCACAGTCAGTTCATATTCGCTGCTGCAATATTGCCCCCCTAGGAGCCTGCTTTTACACGACGGGCATCTGTTGCGGTGTGGTGCCGAACGAGCCACGTGCTCTCGGAAGAGTGAGGCGGATGAATGGTATAAAGGTCAAGCATTGTCGTGTGGCGGCGTCCTTACACCTTGTGCATGTACGTCACACGGCCAGTGTCCCCTGCTCCAAATAGCAATGGGTGACGCTTATTTGCAACGGGCAGCACTGAACCAGTGAGTGACATCCCACACTCAAACGACAGCAGCCGTCCTCACTTGTGGATGATTGCAATTATAAACGCAGGGTGCTTCAAAAATGATGTCAACATTTCTGAGAATTTGCAACAATAGCACAAGAAATGTGCCTCCGGGCTCTGGAGAAGATTCCAGGCACAGTGTTGACAATGATGGCGAACAAATGGAGACTGATTTTTTTAAGCTATTAACATGCATTTGTTTTCATGTTGCAGTGTGTTATCCGTTCTGTTTCCATTGAAAACGACAGTCCCATATAAGTGTTAACATTTTTTTGAAGCAACGTGTATTTATTTTTTGTGACAAATTGGTACCCATTTTATTGACTCCGGATAGATAATGAGCTGAATCGACCCACGACCAGGATTCGAACTCGCTTCCGTACAAGTAAAGAGGCGAGTGCTCACCTTAGGGGCCTGTCCATAAATGACGTCACGCACCTATGGGGGGGGGGGGGGGGGTCAGACATTTGTGACGATGTGTGATGAGGGGGGGGGGGTGAGAAATGTGACGTCACATCAAAATGCGCAACTTTAAATAAATATAGACAACACGTTCTACTTAATTAAATAGACTTTTTAATAAATGTTTTCTCCTACAACATCAGAATTCAGCGCCACATTAAATACGCACTACAATGACAATAGTTTAAAGCGATTTGAAGCATGTTTTATTTTCAAAATGCAAATATTGTTTTTTGGGGGGGGGGCAGAGCTTTGTGACGTCATATTTGAGGGGGGGGTCTGACTTTTGTGACGCCGTGTGACGAGGTGGGGGGGTA